ACATCACAATGCTTGCCTTTACACGACCGAATGAACCCAAATGAGACTTTCTGCAGTGGAAGTGCGGGAAAGTGTCAGTTGATCTTATTGACCTTTGATGGGTGTTTAGTTTTTCTATCACCTACATTGTGATTCTTCTCTCCTTAAAACGCTCCAGCAAGCTGAAAAGCCAGTAGAAGGGAATTCTTGTTGGGAGGTCTGAATTGAGACCTTCCTTGGTCCATGTGGCCCATTAATGTGTACCGGGGCAGGCTAATGTTGTCCAATGATACTTCCCGTTTTCATCAATAAAATGTCACTTTTTTTCACGGAATGTGCATGGGAGTTAATCTAGTTGTGGTCCTGGCCGGCTGTGGGTTGTTTGAGCCTGTGAGAAAAACAGGCATACAGGTGCTTCATTGGTCATGGGGGGGCCTCTGACAGCTGGGTGCTGGCTCTGCTGTGGTCTCAGTCTGTGCCAACATGCCCTGATCCCTTGGGGAACCTCCCCATGCTAATGGCTGAACCTGCACAATATGTGAAGCCCCTTTAAAGGGAGCATTGGCCAGGGCTGCCAGATGTCAAGGACGAATGGGAAACAGGAAGATGACTGGGGGGGGAGGCAGGGATATCCTGAGCCACAGAGAGTTGTGTCTGTATGCACTCCCTGTGAACAGCTCTGCTTCCCGTTCCCCTGCAGGCTGTGCAGCCCTGGGAGCGACGCTACTTCCCGCTCTCCTACAACCCCAAGACAGAGTGCGAGGACCCATCTGATCCCCAGGACCGGTTGTCGCGCTGCACCCGGCGCACATCGGGCAGCAAGTCATCCCGGGAGATGGACAGCGCCCTCCCCTTGCCCGCCCTCCCCAGCCCCAAGAGCCGGAACCCAGCGGTGGCCTCCTCAGCAGCAGCAACAGCAGTTCAGCGGCCGGCACACAGATAGAGACGGACAGGAAGAAATGAGCAAAACCAACACACAGAACTAACTCTTGGCATTAAAGCTTCCGAAATCTGCGTTTGATATTCAAACATCCTGCCGGGAATTTTCACAGTTTTTAGTGAATTTAAGGAGTTTAGAAACTGTTTTTTTTTTTGTTTGTTTGTTTGTTTTGGTTTTTTTTTTTTTTTTTTTTTTTTTTCCATGTTTCCTTGTCACACAATAAGAGCACCCCAGCTTCCTCCCAGCAGAGTGAAGTCTCGGGAGGAGAGCAGCCTGCCAGACACCCTTCCGCAACTCCCCCTTAGGTGTATAACTCTAGAGCACAGGATTTAGCTGACTAGCAGACTTCGGGGATTTTTTTTCTCGAGCGAAAGGGGATTTTTCTCTTACTCTCTGCTGCCTGCTGCCTCCTCCCCGAAAAGTTTTAGTGGAGTGAAATTAGTGGTGAAAAGTGATGTCTTTGGAATGCAACCTCCCGCACTAGCTGTCTTTCCCCACGTGCAGAGCTGAGATCTGCAGTCTCTGCACCCCCACCCTCTGTCATTTTGTTCCCTAGGTTGTAGTTCCAGGTATTACCTCCATGATTCCCCCACGCTGCCTGCTGCATTGCACTGTATTGCCCTTCATTTCTTCCTTTCTCCACTCCTGCTTTTAGAGCAGCTGTTTGCTTCATGGAGGACAAGCCTTCCTGTCACTTGGGGAAAGGAAGGCCCCTCGTTAGCTGCTTCATGCACAGCTCCATGTGGGAGAGTGAGATTTCGGAAGCAGCCTTGTTCCGTTCACACCTTGTGTTTATACTGGGTGAAGGGCAGGGAAGTGGGAGTCCAACCCAGCATGTTCTGGTGCTTCAGCGGGAGCAGAGTTTATCCTTTTGCTGGGATCTAACTTCCTGCTGGCACCAGTACACGCTTTGCTGCAGGAAATGCAGTTCTGTTACCAACACTTCAATTTCTCTTCGTGGTTTTTTACCCACCACAATTAGAAAATTTCAGGCTAGGTTAGCAGCTGGCCATCAGAATGTCACTTCTGTTACTGTTACTGCTTAGAAATCATGATGAGCTGCAGATGCCAGGAGTGTTCAGTTGGCAGGCCTAGGACTCAGCAATTCACCATGTGAAGTCTGTAGGCTGCAGGACATAGGCTGCTAATGTTTGTTTCGCTTAAATTGGTTTGATCTATTAAAAAAAAAAAAGTCCTAAGAAAAAGCAAGTGTCATGTGCTGCTCGAAGTCCAGCTCAGCAGAGCCTTGGCTGCTTGCTTAGGAAAAGATCAGGACTTGTTTTTCACCACTGCTTAACTCCACTTCCACACAAATTTTGAAAACAAATGTTCAGTCAGTTTCATTTTTGAGGACTTTTTGGTCTGAGGATCATAAAGTTTGACAGGTATTTTATTTTAAAATGGCACCACCGCTGCCCCCTCCCCCTCTAGAGACTCCTGGATCCCACACACCGTTCCCATCTGTAATGTTTTCTGACCCTAGCGGTGTGGCTATTGGTCCCGTTCCTGTTGTTAGCATTGTGCCTGTCTTATGTATAATCACATCACCAAAAAAGGAAAAAAAATACAAAGGACATAATTTTTTTTTCCATTTTGTAATCGTAAAGAAATAGTAGCTAAACTGCTTAATGGTTGGGGTTTTTTCACAATTTTCAACATTATCTAGTGTTTTTTGGTTCTGTTCTAGTTTAAAGGATTTGTCATCGTTTCTTTAAAAAAAACAAAACAAAAAAAAAAACAATGCTACCATATCCCTTTGCATAAGTGCTTTTCTATTTATAAGGTTGAAAATTCTGAATAACCCTTTTAGCATTATAAAAAAACCCACAAAAAAACCACCTTGTATTTTGTAAATATTTTTCTTTTCCTGCTTTGAGCTGTGTAATGTCCTTGTTCTATAGAAACGCTTTTCTTCTGAGAAGCTGATCTTTGTTAATGTCCTGATTCTGTTTGCAAAGCACAAATGTGCTTATAAAAAAAAAAAAAGAAAAGATTAAAAAAAAATTAAAAAATGTAGTGTGCTATGCAACGCCCCTTCTGTGAAATGCCAGGCGGAGTGGGGCCAGCAGCATGACAGCCAGGAATAGCATTTCTCTGAGGTGCTCTGAAGTTCTCTGTTTATTTACAGAAGTGTGTGAGCAAGTCCCACCTTCCATGTCTGCACTGGAGGGTGCACCGGTGCCGTCACTGCACGGTAATATTGCAGTCTTTCACCTCTCTGCACCACAGAAATAACCAAAGGCGGCTACTCCAGCAGCTCAGGTTTCATGGTGGTGGTGTCCCTATCCTCTCCAATCCTGCACCAGAGGCAGGGACATCCAGCTTGGTTGGAGGCTCTTATTTCTAAGGTAAAATAACATGCAGCAAATGCGTGTGTTTGGTTGGGGGGGGGGGGGGTGTTGCAGCTGCCAGCTGTTCTGGTAAAGGAGCAGTCAATATAGGGCACTATTGTTTCCTTCTGCAGTTCACCTTTTAAACTTTTGTTTCCATGTGTTTCCCACTTTTGGATCAACCCTGTCCCACCCCACATCTGTGTCCGTTGTGTGGAAGAACTTTCCCTTAGGAGGGGCCCGTTTATTGGCAGTGGTGAGCTCCAGCAGCTGCCGAAAGCAATGGCCTATTATGGTCACATTGCTGTTACAATGTTCTCTCCAACCCTGTCCAGAAGCTGATTGAGCCCTATGGGTTCCTGTTTCTCTCCCCAGTAAAACCTCCGTGGCCCCTTTGTTCTGCCCCATGCTCTCCAGCAGGTGTGTTCAAGCTAAGCCTTACCTGACTGAGGCATGTGCGGAATGATCTGTCCTTCCCCATGACTAGTGCTGTTTTTAAATAAACATCTCAACCTAGGCGTTTGAGGCCAAACCTTGACGGCTGGAGAGGGCGTGACGACTGCTATGCCTGTGAGTGATTTAGAGCCTAAAGTCCAATGTAGCCACAGACTCTTTCAAAAGAGAACTCTACCCTGCTGATGGTGCTCCTGGGGCAGGAGGAGGAGGGGTTTTATTTTAACCAGCCCTGCACAGTCACCCCACTGATCTTTTGCCAATTCTTGGGGGGTGCCTACAGCAAGAGCCAGTGATGGGGGGAGGGGGTTTGCTGGGCACCTCCACTCACCTAAGAGCATTCCCTCACCTTGGGGAGGGGAGAAGGGGGGACTGAGGTTAGAGGGCACCTTGACCCCCCCCCCCCGGCAGCACTGCTGCCATGTGTGAGGTTGGGGCGGTTCCCCTGGCCCTAGTTCACGTATGCCCCCATCTTGTAACAAGACGCCCTTGGGATGCCACCTATAGCTCTGGAGCCTAAATCGGCAAGTTTCTACACTAAGCACTTGCCAAAAGTTGACACAACTAAATGACTCTCTCAGGTCCAAACTGACCTCTGGGAGGGGAAGAATTCCAGCTGGCCGCTTGCCCAAAATCCAACCCCAGGTTTCCCTCTGAGGAAGGCTTAAAAAAAAAAATACCCAACCACTTGTGGGCAGTCCCATGGCACAGGAAAACATTCCTTCAAAACCCCAAAGCAGTGACTAGCACAGCCCACAGCAGCCTAGCTAAGGGAAGGTGGCTGTGAGGCCAAGACTCCAAATCCCATGAGCCCTCAAGCCTGGGGTGGCTGGAAATCTCTCAGGACCTTTTTGCTCTCCCATCATAAAACTCTTGCTGGGCTCGGAGCCCTGAAAGGTTAACTGAAGCCTTGCTCTTAAGAGACACAACATGCACCTTTGTCATTGGCAAGTGCTTGGTTCTCACCTAGGCAGCACTGTACTAACATGGCCTACAGCTCTAAAGCTTCTCTTCGGGTAGGTGCATGTGAACCATATTTCAAGTACTGGCTGCTGTGCCAGTTGTATCGGGTGGTGGAAGACTTGGCACAGTCTGGAAAAAAGTTTAGGCTTTTGCATGACCCTGTTCAGAGGGAACGTTTGACTCCACTGCAGCTCTGCCCAAAGTGTATGTACAGCTGTCCAGAGTTCCAGCAGTGTTTCCACACGGGGTGAACAGACCCAGCCTTTCCATCCCCTCCCACACAAGCAGAGCCACCACGGCAGCATTTTATTGTAGTAATGACTTTATTTCCAAATTCACTTTTACAGCAACAATCAGTGTAAACCAGTTGTTAAAACACACACCACACTATGGACAGTCACAAACAGGAAGCTAAGCTAGGATGATCATACAGAGATTAAGCCCTCCTACCCCCTCCCCCCAAAATTAAAAAGGGACTCACAGGACTGCAAATACCAGAATTGTCCTTTTGCCACTTCAAATTCCTGTAAGGAGCATTTTTTGGAGTTCAGAAATATGGTTCTATAGTGCCAGTTTTAACCCTTTTCAGACCAAAGGAACAGTACATCAATGGACCATCCCTTAGCAGTAAATCTCAGGCCCTGGCTTAAGGCCCAGGTAGGTGACATCTATAAAATGACCGTGTTCTATGGGCTGGGAGGTCAGGCTTGGGCTCTTGGGGAATGGAGGGGTAGGGTGGGAACTGGGACTAGCTACTTTGCTGGAAGATGAGTGTCTGGGTACTGCAAAGGAAGGCTGGGACCCAGCTCGTGAGGGTAAAGTCAGTTGACAGCAGAGTAGGGGGCTGGAAAGGGCAGGGAGAGAAGCTCTAGCCACAGCAGTGACTGCAGGAGTCTGACAGTAGCAAGTTGAAACATCTGGGAAGGGGGTTGAGTCTGCAGATTTCTGTAAGCTCCCAACAAATGACATTCAGGCCGGGTTCATAAAACTAAAACCCCCCATTCCGAAACTCCAGCGATTTACATTCTCAAATAACTGGGTGCTGACTCTGCCAAAAGTCATCACCTCTGCCTGGGCCAGAGGACTGCAGCAAGCCAAAGTCATTTTGGCCACACTGTACTCAGTGAAATGTGGCTAAGGAGAGTTTTAGATTCACAGCACTGCAGGTGCCCAGTCTTTAGTAGAAGCAGAAAAGGGTTAAAATGGTTCTCCCAGTTGCTCATTGACATAGGACAGAAATCTCCTAGGGTTCCTATCATCCCACAATGATACAAAGATAATCACAGACTTTACAGGTTCTTACAATCATAGAGTCCAGTTAAGTGGAACTATTGACAGTGAATGCAGGCTGTCACGTGACCCTTGTCAGCTGGATGCTTGCTGAGGATGACATTAGGGCTGCATCTCCAGGGAGACCCCTGTGGAAATAAGTGCTGGCCAACAGGCTGACTTGCTTGCCCTCAACGCCCCAGCGAGCATCTCCCTTTCAAAGTTCAAAGCGGACCCAGTGCTACCGGCAACCTTCACCTGCCGCCTCTTGGTTCCTGAAGGACGGATCAGAATGAGCACCGGAGTGCGGCACCCGAGAGAAACCAGACCATGGCTCCGGGGCTAGAACCTCCAGGCTCAAATTTGTGCCACCCACCAAACCAGCTGAACTGATTCACAGCTTAAAAATCTACCACTGAAATTCAGCTCAGTTTGAAAGTAAATAGAAGAAGGAAAACGGGCGTGACCGCCTTTGCCCAGCAGCCAGCTGGAATGCAGTTTACTCACCCAGGTACCTGCCCCTGAGCGGCCTTAAGATTAGCTCGTCCACCAGAACCAAGACTCCTGCTGTCGCTGTTGTTTTGGCACAAGAGCAGCAGGCTGCTCCGTTCAGGCTGGGCCAAATCCTGCTGTTACCTGGGGTTGGCTTGATGCTGGCCGAGGGCAGCATAAGCTCTGGTTGGGAAGAGGAGGTTTCTTAGGTGCTAACTCAGGGCAGTTTCTGCTCATCATACAGGAGGTACGGTTGCAACAAGCACCGCTACTGGACTACACTCTAGACCGCAATAGCCCTGGGCCTCTCAAACAGAGCGCCCGATGGCAACAGCACAGCTAGAAGGGGCAGTTGCTGGCACCTCGCAGTTCACACTGGGCTACTCACATTAGCAAAGGGCTGGTTGAGGCCGGTCTACCCCGTAAAATAGCAGGCACCCGAACAGGGCCGGGCTGTTTGAAGTCCTGCCCCCGAGCATGGCAGTGGCCCGACACAGGCACCTTGCTGGGTACACTGGGGGAACTGGGCCAGTGCATCCCCAGCTCCACTGGAGGAGCAGCCGCCTCAGGCGGTTCTGCCCCTTTCCCTAATACTGACTTTTTAATGACCTCTCATCCTCCGAATTAGCTTCACCGAACCCACCTGTAGCCCCGCCCTGGAGGCAGGCAATGGGGGAAGGAAAGGCAGATCAGGTGCAGCAGTATCTAGGGGAACTGCATGCACAGCAGGGGCAGGGCTGACAAGCAGCCGCCAAGGCCAGTGACCTCATGCTTGTTCTGAGGAGGTTGCCCTAGCAACAAAAGCAGCAAGAGACATATTGTCTTGTTTTAACCTTAAGTTGCACTCAGGGTGGTGTAAACAAGTGGCTAAAACAAAGGGTTAGAATGGTGCAAACCCGCCGCAGCGCTCAGTTCTTTCTCTTTTGAAGGGCAGTTTTCCTTTAAGGACACAGCGTCTCGGCCAGGCGCGGTGGCCACTGGAGACAAGGAGCGTGTGCAAAGGTGGCAGCAGGGCCAGTAGCAGCTCACCTACTTTTCCATAATTGACACTTGAAAGCCCCAAGAAGTCACCCAACTTCCTGGCATTTTCTTTTCCAATTCCTAATTCAGCCTCTCGCAAGGGAAGACGCCCCCCTGGTATCGAAGAGGCAGAGTTCCTGGTACTCCATTTAATCCAGAGCTAGAATTCAGGCAGCCCCTGCCTGCCAGGGTGTGATTGTGGCCCTCTGACGCACAGCCCCCAAGCCAGGTGCAGGGACATGGCATCACAGACCCTCCCACCCCGCCCCCCATGTCTAGCAATGAGTGCAGCTCTTGAGGTCAGAGGCGAGGGCATGAGACACTCAACACTAGGGCATGAGTGGTCGGGTAAGCTAGCACAGACCTCAGAGAAGCCGGGCCTGTCTTCTGCACAGGGTGTTAACGGTGGAGCCACAGGATGTGACTAACACACCACTTCCAAACATTAAAGCTTCTTCTGCCTTACGCCCCTGGGGAGTCAGCTATGGGGGCTGTGATCAAAGACCATTAGTGAATGGCACAGAAGTGAGCCTTGTTCCCAGCCTCACGGCAGACATTGCACAGGGTGGGAACTAGCAGCTGGCGTTTCAGAACAAGGAACAGAGCTGCCCTCTGGTTCTCCCACCAGCGGGTCACTGGGTAATGGAGGAAATGTTGCTCCTGTGAAATCAAAGGCTTTACTGGTTTGACCCCCGGGCTCCCCAAATTCTAATCCCAGCTCAATGATTCAGTGACGCTTTGGGCCAATCGCTCCTCCCAGCCTGCCTCCCTTTCCCCATCTGCAAAGGAGGGCAGTACAGGCATGTCAGGGACTGCAAGTGCTTCCGTGATTCGAAAATCCACTGACCTCTAGCCCGACCAGCCTGCTGGAGATCACCAGGAGGCGTTCAGTGGGTGGAACAAGAGGGGATCCGCTCTGCCTCTTTTTCAAAGTTTAACGTCCATTAAAATGCTGCCGGGATCTATAGCACCCAGGGGTTCAAATGTGATCCAGAGAAAAGTGATCACCAGGCCTGCAGAACTCCTATCGCCACTACCAGCCCCCTCAGGTGCTAACAGCTGCACTTGGCTTTGGGAAAGGGTTTCCTGGGCGGTGGCTATGGAATAACCTATAGGAAGCCGGGGCAGACTCATCACCTGGGGCATCTAATGAAGATCGGAAAAAGCTTCAGAGGACACCTCGTACGGCCCAGTCCTACACAGGACAAAGGGTTGGGCTCAGTGACCACCTCCAATTATCTAGCAGGACAATTTCACCAGCTCAGCAGTGCGATGAACTTCCCGAGTCTTCTCTCTCGTTTGCAGGCCAAATTCCCAGAACACACACACAGCTCACGGGGCCAGACCCCTCCAGCTTCCGGAAACACCTTTCCCATCATACCGGGTCAATGCTGACCCGGTTCAGTGCTACTGCATTTGTCTCTGGCCTCAGCCAGATTTGCTCTCACCCTCTGCTGATTAAACAGACAACAGCGAGAGTCGCTTTGACTGAATTCTAGCTCAGTACTGAGCACAGGGGGGCAGTTCAAAACCTACCTACTGAATTTTACAACACATGCTTTTTATAGAACAATCATCACCCTGGTGATTTCCAAGCATATACAGACAAATCCCACTATACAACACGAGGGTATGCCAAAGAAAAAATCCTAGACTCATCTAACTCAACAGCTCCAGCATAAAATGCACCACTCCGACAAAACTAGGGCAGCGGGGATACACTTCAAGAGCATCCCTTCGCTAGTCCCTAGTGTCATCATTACCACCGCATGGAGCCAGCTTTTGGAGCTTAAAAGATGCAGGGGCCACCTGGGAGTATAAGGGAGGGGGGGGCAGGATTTATGGGGAGGCAGTTGGGTTTGAGAAGAGGGAAGCCCAATTTCTATCTTCAGACACATCTTATCTCCTGGACGTAAAGATTTTCTTCCAAAATCGCTAGGTGAAATAGTGATGCTATTTCCATCTGTCCGTGGCTCTGTCACCCTCTATCCACTGCTCCGACCAAAGAAACGTGCCTTCAGTCTAGGCATTGTTACGCTAACAAGATGGAGAATTCAAATCCCGCAGCTCTTAGCTGTCCCACATGTGTCTAACTCAAGCGTCTCCCTTTTCTACTGGAAGATAGCACAGAACCCGGAAGTCCTCTATTCATTCAGCTCAGATCAGGGCAAGAGAACTTTCACTTTGCAACAGCTGAGGCAGTGTCTCAGAAACTGACACACAAGTTGAGAAATCTGTGTGGCCAGCCTCAGCGTATTCAAGCCCACATCAACCAGGCAGACAGACACAGACAAGCATGGCCTTAGCCTCATACCATGTGAGGAACAGAAAGGCTACAGGTGCTGAGGGAGGGAAACAAATTCCAGCCATCCCCCCCCCCCCTCCTCACACTAGTCCTTAGGCATTCAGATGGGTCAGCACTCTGCTGTTTCTTACAACAGGTCGCCCAACCCACTCACCCAGTGTTTAGTTGCCTTGCCGAGGGACCGCGCTCCAGGGTTGCCTGCACTCCAGACCACACAGTGCACACGCTGGCAGGCGTGGGAGTGGGATAGGAGGAAGAGGGCAGTGAACTGGATACAGGCCCAAGGCCATCAAATTAAGTAGGGTAAGAGGCCTCAGCTCAGGAGAAGAGCAGTGGTGGGAGCAGGCCTTGCCCCTAGAAGCCCGGGTTGAAGGCTGAAATCCTTTTGTAAGAGAAACAGCCTGGGAGAAAAAAGTCGCCAGTTGTTGTCATTAATACGAGTTAAAAGAAGGAGCCCTGAAACCACACATTAGTCAAACCAGAGAGCAGGCGAGATCCTTGCCTAGACAAAGGAACCAGCTCTGGGAACAGCGAGTTTGCCATGGCTACTAGTACTACCCCCTTCGGGACGTGCCATTCGCTCCGAGTGTAGGGAAGCTGTGGGCTCCCAGGACTTGAAAGTCAGTTTTGCTGGGTATAAGGAATAAGGCTGGTGCCCTTTAACTAGAGAAGAGACAGTCGGATCCTGGGCCCCAGCCTGTGACCTGGAATCCAAGTAGCTTCGGGGCCAAATTCCAGGGGAGAAAAGGGGTGTTTCTGTCACATCCCTCCCCAAGAAGTCCCTGGGGAAGGTGGGTGGCCTCCCATACTGTCTCTGGGTTCTACATAGTATTAACTAGTCTGAGATTTTCATCAGAGACACAAGCGGGCGAGGTAATAGCTTTACTGGACCAGCTTCTGGCGGTGGGAGAGAGACGTTTTCCAGCTACATCGAGCTCTGCCTCGGGTGCTCGCAGTTACTCAGCTGGGACACCAAGTACTTTCCCAGACCGGAGGGAAGAGCTGTGTATAGCTCGAAAGCTTGTCTCTCTCACCAACCAAAGCTGGTCCAATAAACGCTATTACCTCACCCATCCTGGTGTCTCATATCCTGGGAACGACACTGCTACAACACTGCATACGTGAGATTGCCAAGGTGAGTGTAGTGCCCCATGCTCCCCAGCAGGGGGTGGGCAGGTGGGTGGGTGCTGGAAAGCAACCGGGGATGTTGTTAGAGGTGGGTGGGGAGGTGCCGGTATCTTTGGCGGGCCGGGGATCAGTCTGACTGAGATGGGAACAGGCTTGTACCTTGAAGTTAAATTTAAGCAGCACCAACCTCTCCAGAAACCAAACTCCCTTTTTAGGGGGAGGGGGGGGTTCCTTTCCACGGGGCTAAGATCGCCTGGGGAAGATGAGGGTTTATACCTAATGCTGTTACTGATTTTGAAGTCCTGGAGCCAGAGCTGAATGGACAGTAAAAGTAGGTTAAATCGTTACCCATTTAGGGGGCAGGGGGAGGGGGGGAGTAGTTGTAAAAGGAACAGAGGAAGAAGGCCAGATTGATTTTTCTTTTCTTCTCTTCTCTCCGCCCACGGCCAGGCAATCACAAGCCCTGCTTGGCCAGGGAAGCAGACACTTCGTCAGCTAGCGTGGCCAGCTGGGGGGAGTCCACCATGTTGATACTGCCGGTGGAGGAGACGTTGCTAAGGCGACGGGGGGAGGCATCTCCGGAGACGGTGGGGGACTTGTAGATGATTTCGGCTCCGTGGTCAGTCTTGGCTTTGGCATTCTCGCGGAAGGTCAGCTTGTGAGACTCGATCTGCACAAAGAAAAGGCACAGGGTGAGCCCCGACATGGGGGGCAGGGGGGGAGAGTGTCAATCAAGCCCACGTGAGAGGCTTTGGTGAATGGTGAGTTAACGCTCTGTCCCCACCGGCCATCCCCAGGGGTGTGGCGAGGAGGAAGCAGGTGAATGGAGGACGAGCACAGCACCTTCTGTTCCATGTTCACCCCCGTGACAGGGAGTGGGGGTGAAGCCTGAAGGAACCATTTGCCAATAACGGCCCAATGCCCTCAGGCAGATGGACCACTAGCAGCAAAGGGAGGTGCCTGCAGGAAAACCAGGGCAGAACCTGGCCTCACTTCAGGGGAGCAGTGACTTTCTCAAACCCCGGCCTAGCAGGGCAAAAAGGGGAGTCCCCTTGGCCGAACGCCGAGGAGGGGGCCAGAGACAACTGATCGGCAGTGCAGGGACTAATGCTTTTGGCTTTTCATCTCTGCAGACCTGCTCTTATTCACTGCGTTCGGGTGACAGCAAAGTGAGCTCGGGGGTGGGCAGCCTGACCCCAAGTACCCCTTTGGGAGGCTTTGTCTTGGGGCTAGCAGCAGGGGCTGCTGCAAGTTAAGGTGAATAGGCAAAACTCAAAGGGGGAGGAAGGACCAGAACAGGGGGTCGGGACCCCTCAAGTTATAACATGGGGGGTCGCGAGCTGTCAGCCTCCACCCCAAACCGCGCTTTGCCTCCAGCATTTATAATGGTGTTAAATATATAAAAAGGTGTTTTTAATTTATAAGGGGGGGGGGGGTCGCACTCAGAGGCTTTCTGCGTGAAAGGGGTCACCAGTACAAAAGTCTGAGAACCCCTGGACCAGAACGTCACGGGGTGCTGCCCGCCAGCCCTATGGCACATTGGCTGCAGTTTGGCGGGTGGATCGGGGGGGACTAGCAGGGGCCCGCGACACATTGGCAGAGCTGTGCAAGGGACGCTGTAAAGAGAACCTGCCCCCACCCAGTGTTCAGTTACTTTCGCTGGTTCTACATTACATGACTGTCACCCTCACTCACACACGATCCAGCTGAGCGCGCCGATACTGAGCATTTACGGACAGGCTCCGGCACCGCGCCCCGGGCTAGCGTTAGCCAAACCCCCCTCTCTTGTGGACGCACACGCTCTACGGTGGAAGCTGATGAGTGGCTACTTACTGGCATCGCCATCTGGCTGCAAGTCTGGGAGCGGGCTCTCCTCGGGGATGGCGGGCTCAGTGAGCAATGCCTGAGGCCCTGCGCTTTGGGACACACCATTTTGTGCACCGCGCTCATCGTCCTTGCCCTTCTCTCTCTACAGGTGGAGAAATCAGTGGGGCGCAAAAGGGCGTCAGCAACAAAATGAACTGAATTCAAACCGACAGCAAAGAAATGGGAAGGGAGGAACAGGTCTGCAAAACGCATCGAAGGAGAGGGGGAAAATTCACTGAGCCCATAGAGAGAGAAAGAACGACAGGGCCAGGAGGTGTGGAGCTAGGCGGGAAAAGGAAAATCCCATTTGCTATGAGAAAGGAGATGCCCAGAGAGACGATCCAAAGCAGATTCATAGGGAGAAATGCAACCGGAGCCACAGCTGTAACAGCAGCACCGATGCCTGGTCTGCACTGCAAAGTTTTACCGCACCTGAACATAGAATCAGCATCCTGAACCATCCTGTGGTCCTAAAACATCCCGCAGTCTCTAAGGGGATGTCTACTCTGCAACCAGAGACGTGATTGCTCACGTACACATGCAGTGTAGACACACTCGCACTCACCAAACAAATGTAGACTAGTTGGGGGAGTCTTTAGGCTGTCTGGATGTCTCGCCCTGTAACTTCGGAGAGTCACTCCTGTGGGGAGGACCTCTGGGACGGAAGCAGCTTCATTTTCCAAATGTCCATTTTCCCACCTCTCATGGCCAAGTACCAATTAAAACACAATTGATGTTCCCATCCTCTCCTAGCTAACAGCCACGAAGGCGAGAAACCGTCACACGAAGCAGCGGGCACCCAAATTGCTCTAGCCAGGGCCCATACTGGCAGTTGGCCAGGGCCATGTCTAATTTCTCTAAAATGGAACCAAACTGCTGCTGTCCCTTGAACGGAGATGCAGGTCCCCCTCGATCCTGGTCCAAGCAGCTCCTCCCTGGATTAAGAGGGCACATTGCATATTGGGAGTTGGCAGCCAGGAGCTCTGGGTTAAAGGGTGAGAACGGCCACTGGACACCAGAGAGACTCTGTAGGCTACGCCGAGCCTGTACAGCGCATGTTACCCCCTTTGGTCTTCTGGGGGTAGATCGAACACTGCAAACAAACCAACAAAATTCCTGCAGCATTGAGTCTCCGAGCTCGGCTCAACTAACTCAGGCTTGTGCTACGGAGCTAAAAATAGCAGCGTCGACATTCCCGCTCGGGCTGGAGCCCGGGCTCGGGAACCCAGCAAGGGGGAAGGGTCTCAGAGCCCGGACTCCAGCCCGAGCGGGAATGTCTCCATTGCTATTTGGAACCCTGCAGCGCGAGCCCAAGTCAGCTGACCCGAGCTCGGAGACTCGCTGCCAAGGTTTGTTTTTTGCACTGTAGATGTAACCCAGAGTTAGATGTATGTATCCAGAAGGGGTGAATTTCAGTATCGTGATCACATGACTGAATGAGGCCTGTGGCTAAATGACAATACTGCGATACACAACCACATGGGATTAGAGAAGCCATGTAATTGTGTTGTCAATTTGCAGCTTTTGAATATCGCGTGTCCAAATAAAGCCCCGCTCCAAAGCTTCTAACTGTGGCTCAGTGACTGTACAAGGAGATAAAAAGAAATGAAAAGATGCTCAGGCTGAACAAGGAAGAGAGCAGCACAGGACAGCTCGATGTGTAATGGCAGTGAGAGAAGGGTAAGGAAGCCAAGTAATTCCTCAGTCAGAGAAGCGAGTGCATTTGCTGGAAGAGACTGACAGCTGGAAAGCTTTTCAAGACATTTACAAAATGCATCCAAAACCCAAGTGCTGGAACACAGAGCTGACTGAACAGAACCTTTCCATCTCGTCAAGTTTTTGATAAAAAGGTTGAACAATCTTCCCCCTACTTCTACTGCAGAGAAATCGAATACTTTGTCCCACTGTCCCCAAATGTGACTAATGAATCCACAAAACATCACCCCCAACCCAGCATCCTCGCCTGGTTCCTGCCCAATTCATCCACCCAGTTGTGCTGTATTCGGTGTCTCATTTCAGATGCTGGTGCCTTTCGCTTTGCTGTGAGAACATTTCAAGTACTATCATCCAAGTCTTCAGCCATAGGCTGTGTTTAAAAACAGGCCTTTAATTTTTACCTAATAAACAAAGAGCAAATTATGAAGTATCTTCAATGTATATTTGTTTTAATGAACAATTTATTGCAGGTCTTAAAGAAAAAAGGTATCTGTGTATACACAGATCCAGATCCTTTAAAAATGCCATTTGTTATTACTGGCTATTCATGAGGTTTGATCATGATTCAACTGACTAAATCTCACGGTTCAATATGCAGCCACATGGGAGTGTGCACACACCAACGCATCACCCCTCGTGGGGAACCGGTAAAGGCACAGCAGGGCATTCAGCACTAAGAAAATCGACACAGACAGTCCAAGCAAGTTCTCAATTCATGTCTAAACAATGAAAATAAAAATAAATGTATAAATAAATAAAATTATAAATCAAAATAATGTATTTGCAGTAGTCACACAATGTGCTAACAGCAAAAATATTTTTTTTACACTGAACACGTTTTACAGAGTTTGTTGGCAGTGTCACACCCCGACTCGGCAGGGCACTATGCACGTGCTTAACTTTAAGCAGGAGTCGTCTCAAAACCTTTGACAGAACTAGCGCGTGCTTAAAGATCAGACTGTACATAAGCACTTTGCCTAGTCAAGGGTTTAACTGTTCAAATCACCCCACCCCAAGTGTTAAATATTTATTCTTACCAGATTTCCTTGTGTTCTTTTAATTTAGTTTTAAATTATTAAATACGCGCGCACACACACACACACACACACCCCAGACTTTCAGATGTCAAATACTGCGGCAGCCTTATAGCCAAGCTGTTCAGCCCATGCTGGGAGACTGAAGTTTGAGGCCACAAGAGAATATCTTCTCTCTGAAATGTCAACAAACGTGCTCTTTTCTAATTAAAGTCAAGTCTTTAATAGACTGCTTCCCTGAAATGCCAGCTTCCCAGTCCAACAGTCTGCTTCATACTTTGCAGCGGAGGCTGAAAAAACCAAGTAAGATGCAAATCCAACTATAAGCTGTAACATCTTACAATAGGGAAGCCCGGGGCGTATGCCCATTCAATTACACTGACATTTAGGGAACAGAAAAACTAGGAAATCAAATAAAAAGAAATCACTTGATCATATTGTTTTGTTTTGACAAACACCCGTCAGGGATGGTCTAGACTAGATAATACTTAGTCCTGTCGTGAGTGCAGGGGACTGGACTAGATGATTGCTTGAGGTCCCTTCCAGTCCTACAATTCTATATTCATGTAATGTATAATTAAATGTCTTGTTTATATTAAAATGCCTATTGGCTAAAGAACTGTGAATACAAACGCAACCCACTCCACCCCACCCTGGTAGTGAAGGCCCCAAGAGCTCAAAATGCCCCAAATACTTAGATCTGTCTTAGTCTACAAACCGGGGCTGAGCACAGAGTGTGTGTGTAATGTGTAGCTTGTTATCACAGACACTAATAGTATGGGTAGGCGTGGGACTTTTAAAAGCATACGGGAGAAGAACGTCTATTGAGAGGAAGTTTCAGCCACACATGTTAGGCCGAGTTGGACTGTAGTTTGCAAGTTACCACTCACACTTGCATTAAAGCCACACACCTCTCATGGTTTCCTCCTGATCATCCCCAAAAGGAAGTGATTGGCCAACTGTCAATTTCTGCTACGCGGTGAACATCTCGCTGTGGCAAAATGAATGTCCTGGTATTTATCTGCACAGCGCTAGAGTGATCATTTGTGTCCCACTTTCCCCTGCAGGGCTGCGCTTCCCTGAGCTCGGCAGGCAACTCTGCCGACGCGCTGTTGCCATGCTGACAGGTCACCGGCATGAAACCGAACCCGTTACTCAGCGGCACGAATGAGTCAGACGAATGGACGGATCAGGCCCCGACACAGAGCAGCATTTCAGTACATGCTTCAGCCCTGCTGAAGTCCAGCTGACTTTAAAGTTAAGCCTGTGCTTGTATCGGAGCCTGAAACTTCCAGCGGGTGACGATTTACACCTTTTGAAAAGCAACCTCCAAGCAGACCACAGCAGCACAGTGACTGATTTCAGCTGCAGTGCAACCCTCTTTCCCCAAAATGTTGTTGTGGCTTCAAGAACGGGGATAATCAGGAGGAGCTGTGGCAGAGAACACATCCAGCATTCAGAGAAGAGGAAGCTTGTATGAAACAGGAATTGGATAAACCCGGTTGTAGCTGCTGTGTCCAGACACTGATCGGTGTTTGCCCCCATACTCACTCCGACACATACACAGAGCGCATGCCCACCTGAGAGAGGACAGCACGAACGTCCGGTACAGTACAGCTTTTTACCTTTTTATTCCCTCCTCCAGGGATATGGGTGATGTTATCTAATGACCCAATTTTCGACTGCACCTTCTCTTTGAAGTCCAGTTTCTCCGATTTCACCTCCACCTGGCCACCACCTGGAAGAGAAAGAGTGGGGCTAAGTGCTGAACGAAACCCAGGTTTCTGGAGTCAAGCATCTATTGTGCACTCTGTCTAACAGCAGTCACATCTGGGCGCCGAGATGTGCTGATGGATGGGGGATGAGCAGAATAATGATTGTTAAATGGTACCCACACTGGCCATTCTAAGTCTCTCTTCCTCAGCTAGGGTGACCAGAAGTCCTGATTTTACAGGGACAGTCCATAAATTTGGGGCTTTGTCTTAGGGCACCTATTATTCGCACCCCATATCGATTTTTCACACTTTCTATCTGGTCCCTGTATCGTCAGCCAGCCCCACCTCTCTGCTCTTTATCGCGCTCACTTGGCATGGCACGTCTAAAATCGAGGTGACAAGCTCTTCAGAGAAAGCGCTGGAAATCTCAGGCACTACAAAGTCGGACAATACCTGGTTTATGATGAATGTTGCCCAAGGAACCACATTTGGATGTCACATGGCTCAGGTCTACAGGCTTGTAAACAATTTGCACCTGTTCGTATCAAAAAGAAAAAGGGAAAGGACACCCCATTTTAGCATCACCGAGGATAAAAAAGGCACAGAATACACTGGGACCTGATTTGGATTTGAGACAAAGTGGAGTTAAACCCCCATAAGATTAATACACTAGCAGTTACAGAAGAACTTGCCACCAGAAACTGTGAAATCATTAAAGCCCATGTGTAGCGGCCTCTCTAAAATCAGCGTGTTCAGCATGCACAAGGTTATCATCCGTTCTCCACAGGAGGGGGAAAGCAAAGGCAGATTAAAGTGCTTACGTGAGAGGAAAAAAGTGGAATGTTGTTTAATTAAGTTTCATATTCAGATCATCCAAAAAAAGATAAACTAAAGAGAAATTTAAAACAAATAAATACCTTTTCTGAAGTAAAACTTAAAGTTTATGTCCACAAAAACTGAAAGAACAGAAATGATCAATGTGTATAGAATAAGTGACTGAAATATGTGTTTCTGAAAAAATGTTGTAATGGAATTCAAGTTTTTCTTTAAAAAACACGAGTCGCAAAGCGATAATTTTTAATACACAAAACCACATTATACCATATTACTTACAATGTATTTAAATTTTTTAGCATGTCTGAATGTGTACATCTCATCATTTCCCTTAAACGGTGCCATTTAAACCAACAAGTTCAAAGATTTCTCATCACATGACACTGGGCGCCTAGAATTTTTTTTTTTTTTTTGGACATGCGGGTAACAGCCTTTGGAAACATTTAAACTGGTTAAACAAGACAGTAGTTTTGCAATACACACAACAGGGACAGTTAAAGTAAATCTGGGTTTGTAGTTGTAAGAAAGAACACACTGAACAATCTGATGACAGATCATATTTTAGAAAGGCCTGGGATACATACAAACAAACACACACACACCAGTGACGACATGAGCAGAAAACAGAAGGGAAAAAACATCCCCATATCCCTGAGAATTACTTTAAAAGACAAATATCTGATAGTAATACCATAGTGATAACAGGCCTTCCTTTATTTTGATGTGGTTCTTGCTTGTGGACACCAGAGCACACATTCTACATGCAAGGGAGAGTGAAATTGGAGAAAGAGAATCCTAGAATTTGGCGTCACAGAGGAGAGAGCTGGGAATGGAGACAGACACTGGGAAATTGCTCTTGCAATCCACACAAGAGGCAAGAAAAGGATGACTCAAAGAACCCGAGCAGCTGCTGCTCTCTGTATCCACAGCTCCCCCACACATCCCAGGAAGTCTTCAACACCTTTCATTTAAATTAAGTAGGCACCAATAAAAGAATACAAAGCTTGAATCAAACATATTTGAGCTCTAGGGCCTACAGCGCCTTCCATCTTCAAAGCAGTTTACAAATAATAAATAGAAATTCTCTGCCCTTCTCTCCAACCCTTTTACAGACATTAATCAACTAAAACCCTCACGATCCCCCTGGAGGCAGAGAAAAGTCAACCCTATTTCAGAGAGGAGGATACAGAGGCAAAAAGCAAGCTGCCGGAGGAGATCCATGCCAGAGCCCAGATTAGCTCTCAGAAGTACCTGGTTCCCAGTGCAATGCTCAGACCACCCCTCACCTAATGCGTCTCTCTGGTGGAGCAGAAAAAGGAGGTCCCACTGGATTATCAGATGACACCGTAGAGTGTCTGTGCCCAATGGTTACCAAAAAAAAGATGAATGTTGCTATAGCAACAGCTCATTTCCCATTAACTAACTGAGTTCTTACTGGCAAGAAACATGAATTCAATTGCCTATACTAGAGCGAATCAGTGGCAAGAGCAGAGACTGCTGGCCTCTCACAAAGTACACACAGCAGCACCATGTAAACTAGGGAAAAATCAGACAGGGTGGGGCCCTATGCGGAGAAAGCCCCCCACCCCGAGGCCAGGTCCTTCTGCCAGCCCAGCCCCTGGGGGAGGGAAGGGAGCCACAGAGAGGAGAAAACAAAAGGAAGTCAATTGGTTTGAAAAGGTCTGAGGCTGCTGATAAGCATAAGTGGGGTCCTACCAAATTCACAGCCATGAAAAATGCGACACGGACCGTGAAATCTGGTCTCCCCCCGTGAAATCTAGTTATTTGTGTGCTTTTAACCCTGTACTATACAGATTTCACGGGAGAGACCAGCGTTTTTCAAATTGGGGGTCCTGACCCAAAAGGGAGTTGCAGGGAAGTCGCAAGGTTATTTTAGGGGGGTCATGGTATTACCACCCTTATTTCTGTGCTGCCTTTCGAGCTGGATGGCTGGAGAGCAGCAGCTGTTGGCCGGGCGCCCAGCTCTGAAGGCAGTGTGGCAGCCAGCAGCAGCGTGGAAATAAGTGTGGCAATACCCTACCATGTCACCCTGACTTCTGCGCTGCTGCCTTCAGAACTGGGCGGCCGGAGAGTGGCGGCTGCGGACTGAGGACCCAGGACTGCAGGCAGCAGTGCAGAAGTAAGGGTGCCAATACCATACCCTGCCATCCTGACTTCTGCACTGCTGCTGGCCACGGCTCTGACCTCAGAGCTGGGCTCCCGGCCAGCAGCCGCCGCTCTCCAGCTGCCCAGCTCTGAAGGCAGCGCCACCGCCAGCAGCGGCAGAGCAGTACGGGTAGCCCCCCCCTACAATAACCTTGTGACCTCCCCACAATTCCCTTTTGGGTCAGGACCCCTACAGTTACAACACCATGACATTTCAGACTTAAATACCCAAAATCATGGAATTTATGATTTTTTTTAAATCCCATGACTGTGAAATTGACCTAAATGGACCATGAATTTGGTAGATCACTAAGCATAAGACAGCTCCCATATGCTGGTCAGAGACAGCACTGTGTACACCCATCTCAGAGACTGGACTGCTGTTGACTATTTCTGTGACAGTCTTTCCCTTGGCCCTGTCACATTCTCTCCTGGCCTTATTCCCCTGGAGCCACATTGCGCCCTCAGAGACATGGTGTAAATCCATTAAGTTACTCCAGATTTTCAGCAGTGTAACTGGGAGCTCAATCTGGCCACGTGTGTTCAAACGGGAAGATAGAAACCGGATTTAATTTATAGACAATAGTGCCCAAAGCATGGCTCGCCGAGCCATAACACGCATCACACGGGCAGCCTGCCTCCAACTGCAGTGTGAGGACACAGCTGATCACCTACAGATTTAACGGCTAGTGAACTCACTCAACACGCAGTTTTTGTTCCTCTTTCCTGGACCATACGAGTACAGGTAAAACGTTTGGGCTGGGCATGTATTTGCAAACTGTATGTAACTCTGAGTGGGCCCCTACCAAGCTGCTAGTGTCACTATAAGGGTGCCCCCCCCATTTAAGCTAACAGCTTAAATTGGAGAATATCAGCGAGTCCAGCAATACTCTGATCAGTCCTCTCAGGCCACTGCCTAAAGCATGCCAGAGACGCTGTCATTAACAAGTAGATGCAGGATCTTTAAAAGGACCCTGGCACCCATGTATCATCCACTGCCTGAGATTGAACGTAGCTCTCGGGCAGTGACTGGGTCTTTCACGTGTTTTATAGGGTGTTGCAACTGTAGATGGCACTTTACAGAACTTGGGGACCTCAGTTTGCCCGCGCTTCCTAAGCTACCGTCCACAGCAATGACTGGCACACGGACAGCGTTAGTATCCACCTAATCTTCTGTCTGGTACAGTCATTCCATTCTGCAGACAATAAGGCACTTATACTTCCAGGTAGCTAGAAACCTCTGGGTTAACAGGATATTTTCCTATGGAACACTGTTTCTTCTTGAAGGATTTTCAATTAAATCAGTTCACACGATGCATGTACAGGACTGGATAGAGTTTAATCTAACCATGTTAATGGGTTAATTTATTGCGCATCACCAATAGCTATCCGAACGCTGAAGATAGCATTGGAGGTTTAGTGTACACAATCACGCCACTATTAAGAAGGTTTGTTATAGTGCACGAACGTGTGAAAGTACTCACACTGCCTCCTCCTGGGCTGTGTTTGATATTATCCTTTGAGCCACACTTGGACTGAACGTTGCTAAGATCCAGCTTCTTATTCATTATCTGCACCTTCGACAGCCAGAAAAGAGCATGAGTAACACCACCACCATTCAAAGATCAACTCTGTGTTAAACCACCCAAATGTGGTTTGGGTTAAAGAACGCAGAGCATCACCCAGTACAGAGAGCAAGGCCAATAGGCTGGTTCGATGCTGCTTTGTCTACTCAAGTTACTGGTTCTACAGAGGCCAGCAGAGGTGAGCAGCGCCTGGCTAGAGCTCAGATAAAAATTGCTTGTCTCCCGCATAGGTAGCCCCAGTTTACAAGCTAGAAAAACACGCAAAAAAAACAGCTGTCCAAGTTTCCTTCAGCACATTCAGAGGGAATCATGCCAAGCAGTAAGTGGGTCGGAAAGCGCTCTGGAATTCCAAGTGAGGAAAATGAAAACTCGGCTGGCTCGGCATACGTTCCCCTGCTCTAATCTGGTGGGGTTAGAGGAGAGATGAGCCTGAAGCCACCCCCCAGCCGCCCTGATCCAAACACCGCCAGATTGGAGAAGCTGTGGCAGAGCGGACTCACTTTCACTCAGAGCCGAGTGACTGAGAACAGAAGGGGCAGACACAGCCAGCTAAGAAGAGCACAAACCAGAAATATGGAAATACGGTCAAACCCCACACACGGATTCAGAGGGATTCAAACATCTGAGCCAGAAAGAGCTATAAAGGAATGGAGACCAAAGTCTTTGCACTTTATAAGGTCTTAAATTCTAGATAAAATGGGCAGCACAGCTCCGCTAAAGGATTTGCCTCTGTATTTCATATCTACAGCTATACACTGTTTCTAAATACACACGTACACAAACTAGAAATCTACCGGTGACTTACATACTGTTATGCTCAGAGTGCCTGGCCTGTCACTAACTGAGACCTACCTACAGACAGATTTAGTGCCAGCATAACCATTTTAATTTGGGATGTGAGTTTTTACCGCTATGGTTATACCGGTCCAGCCCCCGGTGTGGATACAGTTATACTGGGATAAAGGCACCTTATGCCACTACAGTTTATTCCCCTCCCCATAAGAAGGTCAAACTAGATGATCGAATGGTATTTTCTGGCTTTGAAATCTATGAATCTATAAGCACCTTTATACCGGTATAACTGCATCCACGCTAGAGGAGGAGTTCTGCTTTAAGAATGCCAGTACGACTTTGCGTGCAGACAACCGCTAAGTTTACTTTATGAGAAAGTTATTGTTTAGCAACATAACCGTGCTAAGAGCAGAAGAAATCCCCACTTCACTAACTCCATTGCCTGAGCGAGAGTTACAAATCCACACAAACGCAGGTGGACTGCGTTCTCTGTTCCTTGGTCACGCGGCAGATGCACACTTCAGCAAAGCTTCTGGCCTGCTGTAGCCGGTTATTGCTGTTACCAGAGCTCCTTTCTACATTTCATTTTTAAAGGGCTGATGATGGGGATGTAGAAACTGGGGGCTGATGAAGTCTCCCATGGGAATCTTTTTTTTAGCCTTCGCATGATTAGTCATTCTGCAAATCTGGAAACAAATCCGTTTGGATGGGTTTTTAAAACAACAGCATGTCATTAAGTGACGCTGCAGCAGTGCACTTGCACAGACAGTCCAACGAACACGGAACATGTCTGACACAACCAATTCAATTCGATGTTGCTGTCTCTCCCTTGACATTTGTTTTTCCTTAACCTTCTGCTGTCTGCCTTTCCTCCAAATGCACTGGGCTGTTGTTATCCATTAACATTCCACTGAAATCAAGGGATGAAGGGAAATACCTGGAACATTTAGCAGTCAATAAACACCTTATCCACTTCTGACTCCCAGCCCTGGGCTCCATCCACTAGATTATGCTGCCTTTCAAAAGCTCAAACTTCTTCAATTTGTTCCTGACACTGTAGCTACGTTTATCCTACTAAGGGTATCATAAAAGCCAAGTATACTTAATAACAGTAAGATCCCAAAAGGAACACACCCATTTCCCCCACACATAGCGGAAACCATCTTGAAGTTCAGCTGTTCTTATTCTTATTATAAAAAAGGAAACAGAAGTTCATTCGTTAGGATGATGGTGGAGGGTTAGATAACTGACTTCAAAGAGGAAATGGCTTATTAAAACAAGCATAGAGTTTAATCCATTTACTATAAATTGACTTTTCATTTTTGAAACCACTGGATTATTGCAATTTTGAAGTCCGCCAGTTCCAGTATATTGCATGTCCTAATGCAGACGGCTGGAATGCGGCTGTTCATGCCAGAAGCCAGCGGGAAAGGTTTGTACAGTTGGAAGAACGGGGAAACTTCTCTAGTGTGGTGCATCAGCTCTGCTCTGAATGGTTGGTATCAATGGTATCGTCAAGGAGGGCTGCAATTTTAGATGGCATCACAAACCAGCACTGACTCCAAAAGCCACTTAATACATTGTAATAAAAAAGTAGAACGTGACCATTTAATTGATAATTGCCAGCTACAGCAAAGAATGCTCCTTTTAAAAAAAATACTACCTAAAATACTGCAAAAAGCCACTCAGGTGACATACTAATGTCGTATCTAAATGCTGATGTCACACATTTACCCAGTCACTCAGCAAATCTCCTATATGGTCACACAAAATGGCTCCCAACCGCTGAGGACAGTACACGAGGTACATGGCACTGCATCCTTCAGAGAAATGCAAACTCTTGCAATTGGACCTACTGTCTGTTAGACACGGAGCAAGTCTGGTTTTGGCCAGCAGTGCCCTCCAGTGTGCATTCACCCCTCGGAAGTGGGGAGAAGGGATAGCTCAGTGGTTTGAGCATTAGCGTGCTAAACCCAGGGTTGTGAGTTCAATCCTTCAGGGGGCCATTTAGGGATCTGGGGCAAAAATCTGTCTGGGGATTGGTCCTGCTTTGAGCAGGGGGTTGGACTAGATGACCTCCTGAGGTCCCTTCCAACCCTGATAGTCTATGATTCTTGACTGCCCTATGTTGATGAGATGTACAGTGGTGTCTAGTCCCTCAGTCATCTGCCTAGGACGGATCAGTACCCCAATCCAACAGGCTGAGAGCAATGGGAAGAAATCTAAGTACACGGGAGGGAGGTGGCCTGGAATTAGAGTGAAAACAAGACCCCTCAGAAGAGGACAAACTCCTTTGCCAACTGGTTCCTAAAGACAATTCTATCTGAGGGTCAACGATTGTTTTCTGTTTTCAACAGGTTATTTAAAAGAACCATTTTTAGTTTGACTGCCAGCCCAGACTTAATACATCCCTTCCCCCTGCACACCTACACAGCACCCATCGTTGTGGGGTTCTCCTTCTAAACTGGATACAGCGAGGTCCATAAAAGGAACCATGCAGCTGGGAAGGATCATCATCTTTGTTTTAATTACTTGTATTTCCATCAACTACTTCGCTCGGACATTTACGCTAGCACTCCCTCCCACTGCTCCCCTTCACTGTTCCATCATCAGCTGTTTTACCGCTCCAGACACAAGTCTAAACTCTGCCCTCTGATGCACACCCAGCTCCCACTGAGCCCTCGTTGCCAAGAAGGCCAACGGCATATTGGGCTGTGTTAGTAGGAGCATTCCTAGCAGATCGAGGGAAGTGATTATTCCCCTCTATTCGGCACTGGTGAGGCCACACCTGGAGTATTGCGTCCAGTTTTGGTCCCCCCACTACAGAAGGGATATTTGCAAATTGGAGAGTCCAGCAGAGGGCAACAAAAATGATTAGGAGGCTGAGGCACATGACTTAAGAGGAGAGGTTGAGGGAACTGGGGTTATTTAGTCTGCAGAAGAGAAGAGTGAGGGGGGATTTGATAGCAGCCTTCAACTACCTGAAGGGGGGTTCCAAAGAGGATGGAGCTCGGCTGTTCTTGGTGGTGGCAGATGACAGAACAAGAAGCAATGGTCTCAAGTTGCAGTGGGGGAGGTCTAGGCTGGATACTAGGAAACTATTTCACTAGGAGGGTGGTGAAGCACTGGAATGGGTTCCCTAGGGAGGTGGTAGAATCTCCATCCTTAGAGGTTTTTAAGGCCCGACTTAACAAAGCCCTGGCTGGGATGATTTAGTTGGGGTCGGTCCTGCTTTGAGCAGGGGGTTGGACTAGATGACCTCCTGAGGTCTCTTCCAACCTAATATTCTATGATTCTGTGGTGGAAGCGAGATGCAAAGGTTGAAGGTAGAATTTGGCCCTGGGGTTGGAGGCTTATGAAGTAGTTTGTGTCATGCGGGAGGTTGGCATGATGGTGGCAGGGGATACTGAGAATACAGTCTGGAGAGACCTCAAGGGAACCTCTAGCTGATGTACTGCTCCTAAAGTCTGTGTGTCCCTGGCAACTGCAAAACCCCATAAAAGTGAACGCACCAGAAAGCGTCCACAAGCATTAAAAACAGGTATTACCCATTATTCGATAGCATCTTAGCTTCCCCTGGTCCCTAAAGGAAAGTGCAGCAGAACCTTCAGAATGAGACAAGATAGCAGGAAACGATTTTCATGCACATGACTGGAGAGAAAGTCACATAAGACTTGATTCCGAGCTTGTGAGCCTTCCCTTCCCAGATCAGACGGTAACCTGGGTGGCTCCAGGGACAAATTGCTTGATCAATATATTGAGTGAGAAAAGTGCCTAAGGGTGCAGCTACCCAGCCCGCAGCAGCGAGCCTCCCAGCCCGGCTAGCAGGGCTCGCGCTAGTGCTCTAAGCTGTCTGTGCAGACAGCGCTTTGAGGCTGCGGCTTGGACTGGAGCCCAGGGTCCGCAGCCCACGCCCCCTCCCTTGGCTCACTAAGCCAGGCCAGCAATTTCAGCATAACCACCCAATTCCCTTGATGAGATTCTAAGCTAGATCCTGGCTGGAATTTAGGCAAGCTCCTGTTCTCCACTGCTGCTGCTTCAACGTGAGAGGCCGCAAGCGGCTCTTCTATTCTAAATCAAGAGAGCGCCCTCCACTGTCAGCCAAAACTCCATGCAATATCTGCCTGACATCCACATGGAAAACAGATTTAGGGTTTACCTTTCCACCTCCTGGCTGGTGCTTCAGGTTTTCAGTGGAACCAATCTTGGACCTGACGTTTTTCAGATCAGGCATGGGGGCGGTAGACGTCTGCAGGCGGCTCTTGGCAGAAGCAGGGGATTTCGGTGGCGTGCGAACCACTGCCACCTTCTTGGGCTCCCTGTTCGGGGGAGTTGGCAGGGAGGGCGTGCGGGAACGGCTACCGGGGGTCCCAGGTGAGCCAGGGCTGCTGTAACCACTTCTGTCTCCAGACTTCGCGGGCTCACCTGAAATTCGCAGACACACATGTAACAGCAGGGTGGAGGCACGGGTTGCTTTGCAAAGTGCTGCCAACGTTTATTGAATGGATCAACCTGCTATTCGACATGCGGCACACCCACGGAGTCAACATTCACAAGTTGCTCCGATTGTTACTTACCAGCTAGGGGATGACTAGTACTGACCATCCCCCTACGAGGTCACAGTGTGGGGAGGATCTTGATTTACAAGGGGAGGGGCTAGCTAGAAACAAACACCAGTGAATCGAGGCGACAGAGTAACGATTCTGCAGAGGAGAATCCTGACGCAAGGGACAGGCACAGTGCAGGGGATCAGAGGGGTTGGGAAGGAAGTTACATAAAACTGCACTTTTATCTAAGGATTTCGAGGCACTTTACAAACATTTAGTTAATAATAATACCTACCTCTTCTGTACACCTTTCCATCAGCAAATCTCAAAGCATTTTACAAAGGAGGTCAACATCACTGTGCCCATTTTACAGATGTAAAATGGGGAAACTGAGGCACAGAGTGGGGGGGGGGCAGCTTGCCCATGGCCACCCAGCATGAACGACAGAGGCAGGAATTATAGAATGGTTGTTTGGAGCTTTACGTCTGAGCTGACCCACACTCAAAACCCAACCAGCGTTCTCAGGCAATATCCACCATGGTTCTTACCAACATCTATATGGAATGAAACCCAGGTAACCTGATCCCTAATTTGCCTCTTGAACTAACCAGGACACAGACTCTCTTTCTCAATCTCACTCACTCAGGACCACTGTGAGAGCTGGGGGAGAATAAAACTTTTTGTTGACTTGCTCCAGTGCTGGGTACCTGCATTTCTGCAATTTCAATTTAACAGTGAATGAGAGCACGGTCCCAACACACAAAATGAAGCTGGTTTTCTGAACATAGATTCATAGATTCTAGGACTGGAAGGGACCTCGAGAGGTCATCGAGTCCAGTCCCCTGATCATGAAAAACTAGTTTTGCACAGGGCTGTGAAATTAACCGCTCAGTGCCTGAGAAGCTACAAACAAAAATATTCAGATGCAATTTTTGTAATTTAAAAATATGAAAAAGGAAAACACTGACATTGCAAAATATTTTTAACACAGCTCAGGCAGCGGAGCAGCTTGAATTGTTTCCAAGATCGAACGGGGGGGGGGGGGGGGAAGCCTTACATTTTACCTTTCTCAGATTTTGCTGCTGTGGTAGGCGGCTTTCTCTGCTCCTTCCTGCCAGCTGAAAGAAAGTTAAAGAAACTTACGTAAAATCAATTACGTACAAACGTTAACAAAAGGTTTTAGCAGGGTCTGGATAAACAGAAGAAATATTCAGCAGGACACACCATTTTAAAGGTAATTTGTGACCTCTGGAGCAGAAAGGCTCCCCAGAAAGCATCAAGAGCACTGGCTTAATCCCCCCATCACTGTTAGGAGAATGTATCCTAAATAAAAATGATTTACAAAGTTTCCTCTATCCCCAAATATAGCCCCTTTCGAGGAATGAAGGACTGGCCTTTTGAAAAAATCTATCAATAATTAAAAAAAAAAAATTCTAGCTGGAGTAAAAAAATGGAGCAGCTTAAGTCTTCCAAATCAGAGCAGAGCGCGTCCAATGAATTATACTCCCAGAGGGATCTAACCAGAGGATAAAGGAGGCGCAGTTGTCATCCTAAACCAAGACGATTATATGAAGGAAGCAGACAGATCAGTAACCAGCCAGGCTTCTTACACAAAAACTATTCATAGCTCAATACACACAAAACGGTGATGGACGTTATACAAATCAGCGCTACCACATCCACACGCCTTAATCTATCTAACCCTAGTGAATGAACCCTAGGGGCTGTTCTATAGTACAAAGTACAGGAAGACCCACCCTACCTAGCTGTACCCATATAAAAGGATCCTCTTCTCACTGAACGGGACGTCTATAGGCAGAATACCACACTGTTCGAGAGCTAGATGAAATACAAGATTTAGCCGTCCCCACTTTGCTCCTGCTCAATCTCCCAGTACGCTAGAGGCAACGTAGGTTCTCTCACGCCAGCAGCATTCCAGATACTGGGGGATTTCACCACAGGGAACATCCCTACAGAAAATTCACTCTCAACCCTCTGCCAGATTGACAGGCCAGATTTCCCACCTTCTTTCTCCAGCTCTTATGGAGTCTTGGCTGGACACTGCAGCACCCGAGAGAGTAGTTTCAGATGGATCATTTTTCCCAGACAAGGGAAATCACCTATTACTTTTAGGCTCCGTCAGGGCTGCACTATTCACGCCCTCATACCCATGAAGAAAAAGCACGGTCCATCTAACATTCATCTTTCCGCATCTCCCATCTCCCCACGGGACTGGACTCCTGACACTGCAGAGTAGCTCGGGAAGGAGCATTTTGCTCCTGCAGCAGGGGAAAGGGGGCTGAGTGCAGACAGCCTGCTTTGTGACACAGTATGCTCAAAAATAGATATGCACACGAAGTCTGACCCGGTCAGTGATTTTAGGGAGGGGCAATCCCAGTGCTTTCTGGAAAGAGGAGATTCCTGCCTCAAACGCGCTGAATGCCCATTGGGGATTTTGCTGAATGCAGCACACACTCCATCCTACCAGCATTGGGAGGCGTCTTGGGGGCCGTGGGCGTTTTTGCCGGGATCCGGGTAGCGTTGGCCGGGCTTTTTTGAGTCTGTGTGGCAGACCTGGGAGCGGCCATCTTCATTCCGCTTTTCATCTCCGGACCCTGGAGGCGGAATCGGGAACAAACGTTTACCATGTGGTTTGCAGACCCACGAGAAAAAAAACCAACCAACCGCCCAGTGAAGGGACATTCTCAAGATTTTTACTCTCTTCACTCAGATAGCAGAGAGCTTGCAAAACGCTCCTCAGCTCCTGCCACCACCATCCCAGGACTCTGCCACGAGGTATGGAGGGTAGGATGAGCAACTTCCAGCGAGACCTCCACATGTACAGCCATTTTAGTTGTATATGAGTCACCGCCCCTTCGCATGCTGCCCCATGATGATGTGCCGGCTGCACCAGCCCCAGTGACTGGAAGCCCTGAGGTAGCACCTACACTGACAGGGAAGCACATGGCTGCATGCCACTTTCCCAGGCAAGTTGTTCACTTCAGTGACGCAGTGCCATGAAATGCTTTGCTACCCGTCCCAATTAGCAGGGCTGGCCGAAAAGCAAGTCCATGTCCTTCACCTGTTCCTAAAACTCTTGCCTCCCCAATTAACAAAAGCTTCCTTTCCTCATTTCTGATCAATTGTGGTTTATGTTCATTCAACAGCCCTTTTAGGGTGCTAAAAAGTTTATGAAAAGTTAACCCTGCTGAGTTAATTCAGACATAAAGCGTTGTTCAGGCTGGTCACTGGTGCTTAAAAAGTCAAAAGCAGAATAAAATATCCCTCTTCCCCATTTCCTCTGCAGTTTATTGTTTAACAACCCCTTTAATCCTGTAGGGCGGCTTCCTAAATCGGATTCAAAACCATTTTACTCCCTGTCTGACGCAGGACTGTGCACGAAAACTTCCATTAAAAGTGTGAAAAAGAAAGCTAACGTGCTTTTGGTCAGAGTTCAAATTTCAATGTTGTTACTGTTTGTTTATTTCTCTATCAGGGAGAGAGTGCTAAGCATTATTTCTAACTGTGAATGTGACATTTTCATTTTTTAAAAATGTACACCAGCCCTGAAGCAATGCATGCCGGAGATCAGAACTGGTCAGCTTCAAATTCTTTAGCACTGAAGCTCATCCTATTATTCAAGATATACAATTTCTATTCTCCCCCCTTCCTTCAGGTTCTAACAAGTTATATGAATGGAAACTCTAAAAGTCATATAATTTTTTTTAAAAGGGGGGGGAGGGATAGCTCAGTGGTTTGAGCATTATCCTGCTAAACCCAGGGTTGTGAGTTCAATCCTTGAGGGGGCCATTTAGGGAACTTGGGTAAAAATCTGTCTGGGGATTGGTCCTGCTTTGAGCAGGGGGTGGGACTAGATGATCTCCTGAGGTCCCTTCCAACCCTGATATTCTATGATTCTAATGATCCACAGCCCTGTTAGAGGGTTGTGTTTTCTGCATAATTTTGTAGCATGGAAGACCTGACTCCAATATATGAGATATATACAAGACTATGTCCATGCACCCATAAATACCAACACAATGTTGTTGCAATGTGAAAGAAGTCAATGCCTCATTGAAATACAAGACAAAACCCTTCTGCACACAGAGGAGAGGTTTTAAAAAACAGCATTAAAATGAATGCAAACCAAGGGACCCTCCCAGCAGATCAGAGAGATGTGACTGCTCTGTACAACACTGAATTATAAAATTTCTACAAGAACTACTGCAAACGCCACTCCCTAACCAAGGACAGTAAAGGATTTCATGGTAACACTGCTACTTAGTTGTGGTTTTTTTTTAAACAAACACTGTAAACACCAGGTGCTCCAGCCACCCCATAAACAAGCTAGAATGGTTGTCTGGCCATTCCTGACGGAAGCGATTCACAGTCTCGGTTGGGAGAATTTTCAGTCCGATTTACCTCCTCCGTTAAGTAACATGGAGTAAACAGGAGACATTACACACACGCTCAGAACATACTTCAGCGTGGAGAGACAGGCTGATCTAACTCAGCATTGGCAGGAATCAGTCAGTCAGGAATGGGCAACTAATCGTTTTTTAAAGGTAGCTTTGGGTTTTTTTTCCACCGATTTCCTTACCTTTGGCTTTGTTTCTTTCGTTCCTGTACTGGCAGGTCGGGATGTGATAGAAGAGACTCGTTTAGGAGTGGAAGCTGGTACTGAGGACTCAGCAGGACTGGAGGGGTTTTTCAAAGGGGTTGTACTAACAGAGGAGGGTCGTTGGGGGGTAATGGAGGATCTATCTTTCAGGGGGTTGGCAGAGGAAGGTGTGGATGTCTTCAAACAAGTAAACAAAATACAAATAAAATTAAAAAAAATCAGCATGAGAAAAAGCAAACTGAAAAGGGATGATGGTTAAAATCAAATATGAACGGCTAGGAGTTAGAGGGGCAGGACACCAAGGCAGAAGTGACAGACGTGCACCTGCGATCAGTTCTCCATCACACTATGATGTCAGGCTTGTCAGACTGAAGTCTCACTTTAAGATTATTAGTCACCCAGTGACATTTCTTGATACTTCATCCAACGAACATTTGAAAGAAAGAAGCGGACTTGGCAGAAGCTAGTAAATCTAGGACCAGAATTTCCAAGAGCACCCAGTGCCCACAACAGGGCCAGATTTTCTAACACGCTCAGCACCCAGCGGGTCCCCACTGAGAACAAAAAGTGCTGGGCTCCTTTGAGAACCTGGCTCCCTAGTTCTTAAGATTCAGACAACACAGAAGAGTTTGGAGCAGGCAGCAGACTGTTCCCTGTTCCTTGATCTGAAGACCCGACCCTACCCTTGGGAGTTTGCTCCAGGGCTTAATCACCCCCACTGTTAAAAATGTATTGCTTATTTCCAATTTAGTTTGCCTGGCTTCAACTTCCAGCCATTGGTTCTTGTTGTGCCTTTCTTTGCTAGACTAAAGAGCCCTTTAGTAAGCCCGTATTTTCTCCCCATGATGGAACTTGGGGATTGGGGTGAGGGATAGCTCAGTGGTTTGAGCATTGGCCTGCTAAACCCAAGCTTGTGAGTTCAATCTTTGAGGGGGCCATTTAGGGATTTAGTTGGGGTTGGTCCTGCTTTGAGCAGGGGGTTGGACTAGATGACCTCCTGAGGTCCCTTCCAACCCTGAGATTCTATGAACTTACACACTGTAACCAAACCATCTCTCAATCTCCTTTGTGATAAGCTAAAATAAGGTATCAGATCAAGCTCTTTAAGTCTCTCCCGGTAAGGCATTTCCCCCCCAGTCATCAAATAATTTGTCTCTCTCTGTTCTGCATCCTCTCCAATTTTCCAACATCTCTTTTTTAAAATGTGGACACCAAAGCAGAGTAATATTCTAGTATCATCATCTGCATCATCATGGCAAATCCCAAAGGGACATGGGTCTACAGTACAGTATAACCGGCAAAATCACGTCCCTGCTCCTCCTCATTTCTCCCCCATTTTGCCATCCAAGGATCGCGTTCGCTTTTTTTTGCTACCGCCTCCCACTGAGCGCTCATGTTGAGTTGCTTGTCCACTATGACTTCTAAAATCCTTTTCAAAAGGTGTCTACACTGCGAAGTTGTCGACAAAACTTTTGTCTTTCACGGGTACTTAAAAAAAGCCCCCCCGCAAAAGACAAAAGTTTTGCCGACGCAAGTGGCAGTGTGAACGCGGCTTTGTCGGCAGGAGCGCTCTCCTGCAGACAAAGCTAACGCTGCTTGCGGGGCTGGAAGTATTTAGTCGGCAAAAGTGCCGACAAAGAGCGTTTACACACGCTGACTTTTAGCTAAAAGCTGCGTGGTGTAGACAAGCCCTAAGTCATGGTTTCCAGGATAAAGTCCTCAATTCTGTAGACATGGTCTGCATTCCTTGCTCCTAGATGTATAACTTTGTACTTAGCTGTATTAAAACACTTTTTGTTTAAATAGGCCCAGCTTCCCAAGCTATCAGATCACCCTGTCTGACTGCCCTGTCATTATGATTTACCATTCCGCCAACCTCTCACCTACCGATTTCCTTCAGCAGCGATGTTATATTTACTTCCAGATCATTAGATGAACTTGCTGAATGGCATCAGGCCTACTACCAATCCCTGGGGAAAGAACAACCCCATTCGACGACGATTCCCCACTGACAACTACTTTTTGAGATCTGCCAGTTAGCCAGTAATCCATTTATCTGTGCTTTATTGATGTTCTATGGTGCTAATTTTTTAATCAGAATGTCATTTGGTATTAAGTCAAATGCCTTACAAATGTCTAAGTATATTACATCTATGCAATTACCTTTATCAGCCAAATTTGTTATCTCCTCGAAGAATGAAATCAGGTTTGTTTGACAAGACCTATTTTCCATAAAACCACATTGAATGGCATTAGCTATATTCCTATCCTTTAATTCTTAATTAATTTAATCCTGGATCAGCCTCTCCATTATTTTGTCTGGGACTGGTGTCAGGCAAACTGACCTCCTACACCCATGTCATCTATTTTGCACTTTCTGAATACTGGCATAACATTAGCACTCTTCCAGTCTTATGGAATTTCCCAGTATTAAATTGTGTGTATAATTCAGAACACAACACTCTGTTGGATATGGACATTTTTTTTTTAACTGTTGCTAAGAACAAATTCCCAGCCTTGCTCTTTCTTTGTTCCCAAAATGGGCAGTTATGTAAGTTCAGAACTGCTGGCTCGCCAACCAAAGCCCCAAATCTGCAACTGTTATTTCACAAAGGCTTTCCCTCGCAGCTGCATGGATCTGATTCCAGGACCGGGACCCAATTATTTAGAGTAATGGTTTTTTGAAAATTAAACACTTCGGACTCCTGCCATGTACCAGGGGGTTTTCTTTGAATTAGTAAAAAACCCAGCAGTTTAATTTTAAAAGCCACAATTTTGTTATGAGTTGATTCTTCCAAGGTTCATGATTTAAAATGGCTGCACCTTCCAAAGGCAGGAGGGAAAAACACAAACACACACTAAAAGAAAAGAAAACTGGCAAGGTTTCCTAACAAATATACGACTTAGGTCAAACGCAGCTGGGTGCAGATGGAGTCAAGAACACACACAGAAGGCTTACATCATATCTCGTATCTCTCATCTTACCTTAGGCTTTTTCTCTTCAGTATCAGTTCCATCTTTGTCTTTACTGTCAATACGAGCTGATGAAATGTAAATAAAGACAGTTATGTTCCTCTTCTTGGGGATGCTAAATAAATACCAAATAGCTTATAATGCCTGCATTATCGTAACATGCATTAATGTTCTCTTTTCTTCTCATTTCAGTTAAAACTATTAAAAAACAGTCCTTATCAAATTACTTCCTCTTTTTAAGTGTGTTCTTGCTGTGTTACAGATTAGCCTTAATATAGGCGATGATGCGTTAGAGTAACTGTTAGGAGCATCAAAAACATGCGGCAAGTTTTATCCCAGACCATCCTTGACAAGAAGATTGACATACTGTTCTAATGGTGTCTTTCTGAACAGCTCCATTCTCAGGCCTAAGTCTGTCCCTTTGCTCTTCAAAACAAATGCAGATAAGGTTTACGCATCACATCTGAAGACTAAAACTCACGAATGCCTCAAACCTACGAGGGTAGGTGTTGAAGACCTTAAGTAACAGACCTGCTTCTTCTTGTGTTTCCAAAATCACTTTTCAATGTATTACTTCAAAAAGCAATTTTATTCAAATCCGTTTGTAATCTTCATCTCTCCCAATCTACTATTTTCTGTCTGACTGGCAGATATTACTCCGTAGGATTCCGTTTCAGAACCTGTAATATCTCTTGAGGCTTTATCAGCCAAATGAAAGCCACTTAAATGAGATTCATAATGAACACACGGGGTTTCTTGGGCCATTACACTATTATTTAGCCCCATTAACCTACGAACTACAACAGACACTGCAGTATTGCAAATAAAGAGATCAGAAGTATAGAAGAGTAAAATGTGTACTACACTCTAGGGTGCTAACTACTAAATCCACTTTTTTCCCCATCAGCAGCTAAATTCCTTCTTAATTTGAAAGGAAAAACAGCTCTTGTATCTTCTCTAAACTTTGGGAATTTATTCTGGCTGATAACGAAATGTACAAGGTCATTTATAAAACATAGCTCTAGCAGTCACCTTGAACCTCCCCCACTATCCACTTGCATAACTTGCCTCATGCCCTTCCCTTTCCTAAAATAGCAAAGGTGCCTTGTGCAATGAAGGTTGTGCTGTACCTTAGAGATAAGAACTCCAGGTATTTCTGGCTGAAAAGGGAAATACCCAGCCCCTTTTCTGTTCCTGCTACTCAATCAGAAGCCGGCGACTTTAAGCATATTGTAACCCGAACTGTCTGAAACCACAGTCAACTTCATTAGAAAGAGAAGAAGGCCGTGCGCTTCCACCCATTAACTACTGGCATTAGTGATGGCAACCTCGGCTAATGTCATGAGGTGTGAATGATTTCTGATTGCGTATTAAGTTTAACAGGATTAACAGCAGCTGCTGATCCCCACAGTACAGTCCGTATGGCGGGAGCCTCCATCCTCCATTTCCTGCCTCACATGAGGGAGAGTCTATGGGCTGACTGGGCTAGCTGTGCCAAGACCGTGTGTAGGCATCAAACGTGGTGCGGAACCCGTACAGACATGCAAACCTGTGTGTCAACGGCAAACGATTCCTGCGGAAAAGTGTCGGAACTCTATGGATGTCTACGGCTGGCGTGGCCCCAAAGAACTCACGTTGCGTTTTTAACACCTGGGCACTAAAACATGGACGCTAAGGAGGCTTGTTAATTAGTGAACAGATTTTCTTACAGATCCCATTTTGATTGCTTATTAAAACAATTCACTGAAAAACCTGCATTTCACCATTGGACAGGCAACCTCCCAAGGTTTTCTTAGGACTGCGGGTCTCGGTGAGAGGAGAAATAGTTCTTGAATATAGAGAAAATGTGCCTGGCATACTAGCAAAGGCATTTGTGCCTGAACAGGCTGAATTTAGCCACCTACTCAGGCCAGTTAAGCTAACACTGTTGCATGAACTTGAACATCTAAAGTTAAAGCTACCTGACCGCAGTGCTATCAGATAAGCAGTTAAATGGCTCAAGGTTTCTCAGCCAACATACTTAGGTATCTAACAGGCTTCCCCTCACACAGATCTCTCTTATAATACACCAAAGATTCAGCCATCTCTTTGGAACTGTCAGGGGCGCACACAGTACTGGGCTTGGAAACTGAGGACAAATTCTCGCCCGCGGTACTCCTCCTCCCTCACCTTTAGAGCAATACGAGTGGGAGACCCTGTGTGATTTATTAACAACAGCTATGAAACTATAGCCTGCTCTGTGGGAACGCTACATCAGAAATGCCCAGAAAAAGTTTCAATCGATCAAACGCCTCTTCTCTTTTATAAATATTTAGAGTGATGGATGAAATCCAAGCGTCTACCTAGCAGCTTTGATAAATCCAAGGACACTGAAATGAAAAGGGAGAAAAGCACATGGCAGCGTGTCAGCGCCCATGCAAGAGAACATGCAACCAAAGCGTGAGTGTGATGCGAATGCATCAAAGGCCAGGAGTAAACGAAGGGTGAAAAGCAGCAGCACGCTGGATTTGTTCAGAGCGAACGTCTGTGGACAACTGTCAGGCAGCAGGATTCAAGGGGTGCCAATATTGGTTTTAGCAGCCTTGCCCTGAGCAAGTCATTGGAGATAGAAGCGTGGGGCAGGAAAATGAGACACACACACACACCTTTTAAATGAGGAACCCGACTGACTTGTTTCTCTGACATGCGAGTTGCAGGTTTCTTTTTGGGTGCCTCTTCTTTTTCCATGGCCTGCACCATTCCCCCCATCTCCTGTTGCAAGGAAACACTTCTATCTGCCACGTCCTTATTTAACCTATCAGGAAACTTGGTTGCACCTAGTGGAGAACCTGAGATTTCTCCCTCCCTAATTACATTAGCTTCAACTTCCACTTGGTACATACTTTCAGAGGGTTCCATCTTGGTAACATCATCATATCCTTTCCCTGACAACCACGGCCGTCTCTCATCTAGGATCTGTCCTGCTTTATGAGCTTCCCTTTCAGTAACAGGAGTCTCTCTAGATATTTCTGCCAGATTATCTTCGGGTCGGCCGTCTGCTGGAAAGCCATGCACCTCCACAGCTTCCTCGGCTGCTTCAAGCAGTGGAGAGTCTTGCGGTCCTAATGAGGAAGGTGAATCCTGCGGAATAGTTTCATCAATGTCACGGTCTTCATCTTTTTCATGCCCAGCGGCCTCTTCTTTCAATTTACCTCTGCTGTATAAAGGATACGGCCTGTCTTGAATATGGGAGTTGTCAACTGGCTCAGACCCCACATCATCAATACCCGGGTGCCACTTTTCAAAGGGAGCAGCCAGTTTCTCCTGATAGAACATTCCACCACTTGGAGCACCCTGAGAGAATTCGGAAACGGCTGATGTGGCAAATTCTTCCATGCACACATCATGACCTGCTTCATCTGCCAACGCTTTACCCACTCCAACGTCCTCTTTTCCACCACGGTCCCAGAGCTCAGTTCTGGAGACAGCCTCCTGGCTTTCTTCAAAGGCTCTGAAGTCTTCATATGTGCCTGGAGGGACTGGTATGGTGGCCTCAGCTCTGGCAGGAACTGCTGCTGCCTGTTCTCCAGTCTGCATTTCACGTAAAGGGAGGACAGTCGCTGGAAGAACCTCACCTGCTTGTTTTTCTGGCTGAGTCTCACTTGCCACGTGCTCCTGAATTCCAGGTTCCACACTCTCCCATAGCCTTGGGGAGCTCAGCTCTTCTGGGGGGCGAAGAAGGAGGGTAGGATGTCAAGCGTGGCAAAGAATTAGCACAGGTATTTCAATGGAAAGTCATTCTTGCAACACAAAAGAGAGACTTAAAAGACTTTTTATAACCATTCTACACAGATAAAAGCAATCAAGTCCTACACTGCCACTTGCGGTGGAAAATTCAATTCTGCAGTTCTCTTTGTTTTAAAGGAATCTTGTCCCTGTAGATAGGCTTAAAATCAGAGCTACTCCACTTTGCTTTGATGATACACACTGAATCATCCATCATCTCTGCTTACCTGCTCCATTGCTGGGAAGAGGTAGAGTACCAAAACAAACACAGGATTTGCCATACCAGATCTATCCAGTTATCCTGTCTCCCATACTGAAAGTCTCAGAGGAAGGAGCGTCCCTCCGCCCCCAGTAATATGCCGGTGTGTGATCAACTATGCTCTGTGACCATGGTGGATGGATTCTATCCCAGCCTCTGTCCACAGAGGTGGTCCAAAGTATGCCATGAAGGCTAACATTTGATCATCGTTCAATTTTATAGGCCACAAAACTATCCAGCCTCTATCTAGTTACAGCACTGGACAATTAATTAGCTCTTGTGGCAGTGAATGCCACAGGTTGACCACGTGTCAAATGAAGTGTCGCTTTCATTTGTTCTAAATAAATCTGCCAATAATTGTGTTGTGTAACCACAACACAGTGCGGGCCAGAATGAAAATGGATAGATAGTCTCCCCACTCTAAGGGCTAGTCTACACTGGCAACGTTAAAGCGCTACCACGGCAGCGCTTTAACGTGGCTTGTGTAGTCGCAGCAGGGGGCGTAGCTACCAGCGCTGGTGCACTGTCTACACTGGCGCTTTACAGCGCTGAAACTTGCTGCGCTCAGGGGTGTTTTTTCACACCCCTGAGCAAGAAAGTTGCAGCGCTGTAAAATGCCAGTGTAGACAAGCCCTCAGGTTACATACAAAACTTAAATCCCCTCCAGCTCTTCTTCTCTCCAAACTAAATAAGACTAGTTATAGCTGACACCTCCCAGCCATCCGGAATTCTAACCATCTTCACTTCTCTAGACCGTTTCTTCTTCTGCTACATCTTTACCAAAAACTAGACAGAGCAGTACAAGTATTCGAATTCTTTTTTATTTCAGTAGCCTGTCTACGCCATCAAAGCACAGGGTGTAGGTGGAGAGGATGGATCGCACAACAGAAACACCTGGCTGCGACTGCAAACAAACTCTGATTTTGTATGTTCCGCCCACTCTGCAGAGTAATTAGTACCATAACATTGCACACCCGTTCTGGAGCAGCTGACAGTATAACCTTTAGAAAACAGAGCTTACAGTCATAGATGCAAAGATTTTAAGGCCAGAAGGGAACATTTATGATCATCCAGCTCAGGGCTACACTACAGACCTACAACGGTGTTGCCCAGGGGTGTGAAAAATTCACATCCCTGAGTGACGTCGTTATATTTACCTAACTCCCCAGGTAGACAGCGCTCAGTCGATGGGAGAACTTCTACCGCCTCTTGGGGTATGTCTACACTACCCTCCGGATCGGCGATAAATCGATCCCCGAACACGCTCCCCGTCGACTCCGGAACTCCACCGCTGCGAGAGGTGGAAGCAGAGTCGACGGGGGAGCGGCGGCCATCGATCCCGCGTCGTGAGGACGTGAAGTAAGTCAATGTAAGTCGATCTAAGATATGTCGACTTCAGCTCCGCTATTCCCGTAGCTGAAGTTGCGTATCTTACATCGACTCCCCCCGCCCCCCCAGTGTAGACCAGCCCTCAGAGTCGTGCTGCAGGTGACCAGAACATACCGTAAGGACAACAAAAGTAGAGACGTGCCCACTACATTCGTTAGCGACATTTCCAAAATGCACTTGTTCTAAATACAGAGTGCAACACGTGATCAAAGGTGTTTGTAACATTTCAAATGATACGGTTAAAAATCTGAAGATTTAAAAGTCTGCCCCTCCCACAGAAACTTGAGACTCACTTCACTACTCTTCCCTCTTCATGCTGAAGAGCCATTTTTCAAAGTCCGCAGCAAAACAAAACCAAGGTCACCAATTATGATTTATACCTGGCCACAGGCGTGCAGCACTCATCACAATTATATCTGACCCAGAGGAAAATGTATCATAAAATGGAAGTGCCCCTTTTAAAGCATCATTCCCCACGTTCAGAGAAGTAACAATTTACTGCGCAGAAACCTGGTACTCAGTACAAGGGGAGGAAAACGTTTAAACATCTGGTGAGAACAGAGAAGTGGCCAGAGCTGGGCAGATATCATGCAACGCTTCCATCACATTTCTGCTAATGACCTCAAGCGACACCTACAGAACCCTCTGCTATTCTAAGCCTTGTCCATTTGCACACAAGAACTGCCACTCACAAAGACTTGCAAGATGATCCTGTGATACAGTTATGGGCAAACTTCTGCTAGGGAGTAGGATAAGAATAACCAAACTCATTTACATGGAAGCTGAAGATGCGAACTCTGTCCTGAGTTGAAAAAGATACAGGAAAAAATATTTACTTTTTAAACATCACTAAGTTTGAAAGTACCTCTCTCAGCCAGGCAAGTTGTGTGCAATTTTGAGAGTAGCAGCAGGCATGGAGCAGGAAGGATATACACCAAACAGATGAAGAAATTCATGTCATGTATATGCCACCAAGAAAAAGATCTTGCAAAATGGGATTTACTCAGCTTGAAAAACCAAGCATCATGTAAATGGCACAAGATGGAGAGCGTGAGCATGAAAACCATCTACAGCACATTCCGCTTTCTGCACTTGCTGTTTCATTAGACTGGGGTGGAATTTTCAAAAACATTCCGCGCATTAGCCTCCCTCTGCTCCCACTGGACGCTTTTGAAAATCCCACCCTGAAGTTTTCAGTTATGTCCGAAGTCAGCAGAGTCAAAATCACCCTTTTCAGCCTGACTCCTGTGAGCTAGCAGCGCCTCCTATTAAAGGGATAATTTTTTAGCTCGGTTAAGCAGATGCCCAGTTATGCTGTACGTCCACACACTGCACAGCGGCTAGCTTGGTTATGTTCTGTATAACAGAGGCCAGAAGAGACTATTCTCAATACGTCCAAGTACATAATGAGACTGGTTTGAGGATAATGTGCAAACCAGACTCTTAGTGGGCATTATTTTTGTCACAATTCAAGTAAAAAAATTGGATGTGGTGATTATAAAGTTAGATAACCCACTGCCTCGGGGTCAGCACTGCAGGGTTCAAAATCAACCCACGCCTCTCGTTCCACAGGAGAGTGACATTGAGGTATATTGCAAAAGGTGACTGGGGATGAAGGAGTCCATATTCAAGTATGAGCATCTCCCGTTGGCTGACCCATATTGTCCTCTCTGTGTGTATTTTGCAAGGTGATTCCCCCTTCCATAGCTTGGAGGATACTCAACCGTCCGCTATTCCAGACAGAGGACAAGGACTCAGGCTGTAACCATCCAGAGAAGAAGGGCAATGGATGAAAAGTTGTGGTGTCCCCCTAAAATGAAAAAGTGGGGGGGATACTTCAAGCATCTTGACCATACCTGGCTAGAGACCGGCAGCGGCAGAGAGAACTGGATAGTTGGGTGTCTAGCAAAGAAGGGAAGCACTGCAGAAGAAAAATCCCAAACCACTGGCAACTCCTATCTCTGTTTTGGGTCCCAATTGGATTTTACTATTTCCCAGCAGCAAATATTCCACTGACCTTGAGCACCATCTCCTGCAGCTTGATCCTCAAGGTTAGGAGTAGCTCCCACACCTGCTTCCTCAGCTGATTCACAGTTAAATAAAGGGGGGGAAAATTACAAAAGTTAAATTGAAATGGCTGCCACGAAAAACAAATTTGCTTCCTTACTGATCCTGTCCATCAGCCTGACAGGGCCGCCCAGGGGATTCACGGGGCCTGGGGTCTTCGGCAGCGGGGGTCCTTCTGCTCCGGGTCTTCGGGGCACTTCGGCAGCGGGTCCCGGAGCGAGTGAAGGACCCGCCGCCTAATTGCTGCCGAAGACCCGGAGCGGAAGAAGCTCCGGGTCTTCGGCAGCGGGTCCTTCACTCACTCCGGGTGTGTTCGGCGGCACTGAAGGACCTGCCACCGAAGACTCGCCGAAAACCCTTGTGGGGGCCCCTGAAAATTCTCGTGGGGGCCCCTGTGGGGCCCGGGGCAAATTGCCCCACTTGCCCCCTTCCCCCCCGGGTGGCCCTGCAGCCTGAATGCATTATAAACAGTACTATAATGTACCTGATGGCAGTTACCTTTTAACTGCAGTTGAGGGACTGCCTTACTACATCAGAGCACTGCTTCATCTAAGCCAGTATCTTGGATGACAGAGACCAGTACCAGATACTTCAGAGACAAGTGCAGGAAACTCTTGTGGGCAATTAAGGAGTAGCCTTGCCAAGGTTAGCATGAGAATGTATATCCCTTTTTCAGTCCCAAGGGTGGATGTTATCAGCCACAAAAATATCTAATTCTTTATTATTGCCCACAGGCTAACTATAATGAAGCTCAGACTACTTCTAACACTAACCCGATGCTAAAAGCTGAGAGCTATGGGGTAGTGGGCAAACACTGCTAAGTGTCGTCTCAATACCCCAGGCAATAGAAAGGAACTGAGAGGTGGTTTGGGGCCCTTGGGGGAGGCAGGGTACAGCATCAGAAATCCTCTGAGGTAAACAGAATGAAATTCAATAAGTATAAATGCAAAGTACTCCACTTAGGAAGGAACAATCAGATGCACATACACAAAATGGGAAATGACTGCCTAGGAAGGAGTACTGCAGAAAGGGATCTGGGAGTCACAGCAGATCACAAGGTAAGTATGAGTCAACAGTGTAACACTTGCAAAAAAACCGCAAACATCATTCTGGGATGTATTAGGAAGAATGTTGTAAGCAAGACAGGAGAAGTAATTTTTCCGCTCTACTCTGCACTGATTAGGCCTCAACTGGAGTATTGTGTCCAGTTCTGGGCCACACATTTCAGGAAAGATGTGGACAAACTGGAGAAAGTCCAGAGAAGAGCAACAAAAATGATTAAAGTTCTAGAAAAATGACCTATGAGGGAAGATTGAAAAAATTAGGCTTGTTTAGCCTGGAGAAGAAGACAGAGGAGACATGGTAACCGTTTTCAAGTACATAAAAGGTTGTTACAAGGAGGAGGGTTCTCCTTAACCTCTGAGGATGGGACAAGAAGCAATGGGCTTAAACTGTAGCAAGGGAGGTTTAGGTTGGAGATTAGGAAAAACTTCCTAACTGTCAGGGTGGTTAAGCACTGGAATAAATTCCCTAGGGAGGTTGCAGAATCTCCATCATCGGAGATTTTTAGAGCAGGTTGGACAAACACCTGTCAGGGATGGTCTAGATAATACTTAGTCCTGCCATGAGTGCAGGGGACTGGACAAGATGACCTCTCAAGATCCCTTCTAGTCCTATGATTCTATCATGCAGGGCACATACGTGGCCCCAAAGGACACTGCTGACCAAAATAATCCAATCTCTCATTCATGGGGTGTATGAGCACCTAGAGTGGAATCCATGTGGACAAATCCTCAAAAAATAACACCTTGTTTACTTTTTGCCCTGCTGCTGCACGCTGCACAGAGGTGTATGCTGTCCAGAATGACGCCTAGGTCTGTTTCCTGAAGCGCTACAGTTAGCTTAGAACCCAGGAACATCAAAGGAAGTTCGACCTATATTTTCAGAGGTGCACTGCCTCGCATTTATCAACGCTGAATTCCATTTGCCATTCCATGATGCCCATTCACTTAACTTGATTAGCTCAGTCTTCTTTCAGTCTTGACTAACCTACTTAATTTTGACCCTTTTAAAAGGTTGCCCGCTCACTACTCATCCCCCTTTCCCCGATGGTTAATATATTACACATCAATCCTAACACACAACCTGGGGGCACCCCCCATTAAGCTTCTACAATGTTGAAAACCATTTATTGCTACCTTTTATTGGGGGGGGGGGTCACTAATTTCGGACCCATGACAGTACTTTAACCTCTCATCCCATGTCAAGCCTGCAGACAGGACCTTTGACAAAGGCATTTCGACAGTTCAAGTAAACTATGTCCATCTGCTATTTTGCTGACATTCAGAGAATTCTAGTAGACTAGAGAGGCATGCTTTTCTGCTACAGCAGCCATGCTGGGTTGCTTCTCTCTTGTGTTTCTCTAGGTTTTTTATCAATTCTATTTTTAATCACCTTTCAACCAGTTTACCTGGTACCAAAGTAAAGCTCACTAGTCTGCAATTCCAAGGATCAAACCTAGTGCCTTCAGGGGCTCCCCACCAATTCTCAGGTATAGTCACCGATTAAATGAGAGACTGCATCCTTTTGTTACCAGCTCAGCCACGAGTTCCTTCAGAACTCATGGGTGTGCCACACAAAAGAGGATGATGCTGTTGAGCCAGGAGAGGAGAAAAGGTTGCAACGTCTTCCCCAAAGATCCTGCTGCTCTCCAGGATGGGAACAAGAGACAGACCTGACCAGTTCAGATTTTCAAGTAGAAGAAGGTAAAGCCGCAAACCTGTGTGTGCTTATTGGAACCTACCCAAGCCTATGAGATGTTTGTTGTTTTACTACTAAGCTGCAACTCCAGTGCCCATTCCTGCTCTATAAGCATCCAGAAAGACTGTCCAGCCACAAGGGATGGCATGGTATTTAACAGAGGTGTTTTTTTACCAGGTAAAATCATGGTTTTTATAGTGCCCTGGGAAATACTACTTGGTCTCAGTTTAAAGCATTTTCTAGTTTAAAAACTCTTTCGTCAATGCACACCACATTACGCTGAGTTTTAATTACATATTCAAATTGTGATCACAAGGTAGTAGATTTGAGATGAATTTAGGGCTGTACAAATAAAAAGCAAAACTGGTCGTAATATCAATATATGTCATTATAATACTGAGCATCAGACTGTCTATACATTTTGGTTGGTTATTTTCTCAATGGAGTTATATACGTTACGACTTATTTCGGTTTATCAATATTGTATAAGCAAAAGTCAAAATCATTTGATTATATGCGAGTGACAATCATGCAGAGTTGTAGGCTTGAAGCATTAAGCAATTAGAAACATGCAGTTGCCACCTACCAGTCCAGGTCCATTTGACCAGGCAGCATTCTGTAGTAGAAGACCAACTTTGAAACAGTGGATAGATTATTCAGTTTGGAACGGCTGTCTCCAAAGTTTGAAAAGATTCGTTCTACGCTTGCTGAACTTGCTGGACACCGATGCAATTGTTTACCCAATTTCCTGGTTTAAACCAGTATTTACCAGCACCCTGCGCTAAACTGGTTTTTCCCGGGAAACTGCCAACCCTGCCAGCCACAATTCGAAACTCCTTCCTCGTTCACCAGAAGGCGTGCAGAGGCCTCACCTGTGGTTCCTTCGGGTATCTCCACATGCTGCCGAGCTGCAATCCGATCCTCATGTGCTCTCTCCTCCACTAAGGGCGCTGTGGCATCTGAAAAACAAAGCAGCTTTCACACAGCCTGACTGAAACAAAACCCCTTCGGAGGTCAGTGCTTTAAAAAAAATAGCACTGAAGGGTGCATCACAGAAGGGAAACCATCCTCAACGCTCACCAGGTTTCCTTCCTATCGGCTGAGCAGGATGAAAGTTGATACTTGTCATGGGAAACAAAAGCGCAAGCACAGCGCACGCACACACAGAGAGCCCATCTGTTAGGCACACTGTACATCCATCACCTCCTTTGTCACACAAGCTGTATGCCTCCATGTATTACTTACCCATCCAAAAAATAAAATAGTTTGGCTACCAGCACGGTCTTTTTAAAATAGGCCCAGAGCAGGAGGGCGGAGAATGCCTGGTTTGCACATTCAGCAATGCTGCCCGCACAGAGGTGATGCTCAGAGCTCAGCTGGTGACAACAGCCCACAGTCAGGACGTTTTATTATAACATACATGCATCTTTCATTAACCCCCTCAGCTGGACTGTGTCCACTAATTCATCCCTGCTGGGACATTCCGCACATGGCAAACCTCTGGCGTCTCTTTCCCCCCCACCAAATGAGGTTTTCCTCCTTATGACAACACTGTCCTGATGCACAGGATAGCAACATCCAGTCCCGGACCAGCTAGAATTTTACGGGCCAGTCTCTTGAAATACGCAGGCTGGGAATGAGAGTTTTATCACAATGGACTGCTGGCAGTTCTCATTTCCAATGGAGTACAGCTCTGGCAGGTCACTAGACAGCAGCATTGAAAAGTACAACAGCCCAGGTCAGAATAAAGCGTCTGTTAGATAAAGCTTAGAAACTAAGAAAATTAGTATTTTCCTCTCCTTCCAAGGCTTGTGATAGGTGCATGCATGGTAGCCAGGCATTACAAGCAGCAGAATAAAAATGCCACCAATTACAAATATTAGTATGTCTCTAGATTAGGTTCTCTGTAAAAAATGTGGCAACATAATACACTCAGGAGTCACACCATCCACCCGACCCGTGCATTATGCTTTATTTCACATGTATCTATTTTATTTTACATATAACCATGTGCTGTCATTCTGACAGATACCAAATTGTATTGCCAGGTATGCGTACAAAGGAGCAAACACACCAATGAATTGCAGCTACTTCTGGGATGGAGGGCACCACCTAGGAGGATAAGGGGAATATTTTGGCCAAGTACTTTGGTGCAAACCCTTGACCTTCAGGAACATGCACTATGGGATTGCTAATGTTCAGGCTGAACAACAGGGGCGCCATTTAGGGGGGCAGGGGAGAGCTCCAGCCCCCGCCCCAAGTTTCGTAGGGGAGGTCTACTCCCCCTAGCCCCAGACAGAGCTCTTAACTGCAACAGCTTGAGTGTGATATGTGATGAGTTCGGAAGCTGGGAGCAGCACAGCCTTTGGGGCAGGGTGTTTGTTTATAAACAGAGGCAGGGTGATTAAGATAACAAAAGGCTTGTCATTAAAGTAAATTAAGGATTGTTAGATGATCCTGAAAGTACTGCCACGCACTTCAGTTAAAAGATAGGAAACAAAGGGTAGGAATAAAAGGTGAGAGGTAAATAGTGGTGTCCTCAAGGGTCTGTACTGCGACCAGGGCTGGTCAACATATTCAGAAATGATCTGGAAAAAGGGATACACAGTGAGGTGGTAAAATTTACAGATGATACAAAATTACTCAAGATAGTTAAGTCCCAAGCAGACTGCTAAGAGCTACAAAGGGACCTCACAAAACTGGGTGACTGGGCAACAAAATGGCAGAAGAAATTCAATGTTGATAAATGCAAAGTAATACATTTGGCAAAATAGAATCCCAACTATACATACAAAATGATGGGGTCTAAATTAGCTAGACCTGTCAATAAAGAGATCTTGGAGTCATTGTGGAGAGTTCTCTGAAGACATCTGCTCAATGTGCAGTGGCAATTAGAAAAGCTAACAGAGTATTGGGAATCATTAGGAAAGGGATTGATAAGAAGAGGAAAATATCATATTGCCTCTATATAAATCCATGGTATGCCAACATATTGAATAGTTTGTGCAGATGTGGTCACCCCATCTCAAAAAAGATATATTGGATTTGGAAAAGATACAAAGAAGGGCAACCGAAATGATTAGGGGTATAGAACACCCTCTGTATAAGGAGAGATTAAAAAGACTGGGACTTTTCAGCTTGGAAAAGAGATGACTCAGGGGGGAGGGTGTGGAAAAATTGAACACGGAAATGTTATTTATTCCTTCTCCTAACACAAGAACTCGAGGTCACCAAATGAAATTAATAGACAGCAGATTTAAAACAAAAAGAAGTACTTCTTCAGGGTCAACCTGTGGAACTCTTTGCCAGGGAATGTTGTGAAGGCCATAACTATACTAGGTAAGTTCATGGAGGATAGGTCCAGCAATGGCTATTAGCCAGGGTGGGCAGGGATCCAACACCATGTTCTGCATGAAGCTGGGAGTGGGCAACAGGGCAACTTGATGATTGCCTGTTCTGTTCATTCCCTCTGAAGCACCTGGCATTGGCCACTGTTGGAAGACAGGATACTGGGCTAGATGGACCTTTGGTCTGAACCCAGTATGGCCATTCTGATGTTCTTATAAAGAACCCAGGTGTATCCGCTCCCCGCTGTAACCCACTAGACCCTGCTCTCCTCCCAGAGCTGGGATAGAACCCAGGAGTCCTGACGGGGTCTTTCTCTCCACAAAACTAGTAATAAAGTAAGAATATACATTAAAATTTTAAACCTCACCAGTGTCCCTTACGTGACTTGCCACAAGATGTCAGAACGTGTTGTTATTAGAGCTGAGTGGGCCTAATATTTATTTAATTTTCTCTCTTTTATAAAGGAATTAGGTACAGGGCTCCTGTCAGCTAATTGCTAAGTTATCTGCCAACAACTAGAGTTTTCAAGTGCCTACGTAGCCCCAGAAATCACGGTTAAAGTTGCTTCCCCCCCCCAAATTCTGAAATGGCGCCCCTGCTGAACAAGCAGCCTTCTGCAGTCAAGGTCTAGTAAAAAAATAATAATAATAATCTCTATAAACTGCAGGGAACTTATGTAACGACTAATCCTTTGCACAGCACCTCCCATCCAAAGACCTCAAAGATCTATGCCCACTTTTTAAAGTATATTATCCCATTTTACAGATAGGAAACTAAGTGATTTGCTAAAGTCACTGGCAGAGTCAGGATTAAAAGCCAGGGCTCACGGCTTAGTCCCATGCTCTAGTAACTCGACCAAGCAGCCTCCCATAAACAGAAGTTCAAGTTGAAAGATCTCTGCAGGCTTCCCCACCACCACTGATGCTGCCATCTTTAAATGTCTGTAGGATATTGAAGACTGTGGGCCAGATTTTTTAAAGGTCTTTTGGCACCAAACTCCCATTGGGAGTAGCGGAGACACATCTTGCAACCAAAAGTTCTAATATGAACACTCCCGAAATAACCCAGGTTTTGTTAGCCTGAGAGGTGATTTGGACCGAATGCCTAGGCACCCAGCTGATGTGTGACAGCTTGGAACGCTGCTTGGTTTCTTGTCCGATTCTTGACATTTCTGTGTAAATATCTATTGGAAACGGAGAACATTCATTGGCTTGATGTAAATCTAACTCTTCCTGGCAGGCTACAGGGTCATTTACCAGGGAAAGGCAACTAGGACGCTCAGACATTTTTCCTAATGATTTTTTTGGAGTCTGCGTGTCTACGTTAGAATCCGTGTTGCCTTGTGAGCGGTTTAATAATGGCTTCTGAAGGCTGGCTAGTGCCCATTAACATTAATGGGGAGTTACACGAGTTGGTTCAGTCAATTACCCTCTCAGGATGGGCTACACTCAGCAGTCATCAATAGGCACGCTGGTTTGGGAGTGCAATCCTGGAAGGAGGAAATGGAACTGGAATTGATCCTCCAGGGGTGTCTGTGTGCGCAGTTCTCCTTCGTGATTATCAAACTAACAAAGAGCATTTATCTGGCAGCACAGAGACACAAGACAGCCATGCCTCTTCAGGAACCCCCTTCAGAAAATGGTCTGGCGCATCTCCAAACAATGCTTAGAAACGGCACCAGCCATTGTGGTTTAAAAGCAGTACGACAAAGAGCTCCCACCTTCCATCGTCGGGGTGCTCTTAGCATCAGAGGTCTCGGAAGTGGGCTCATCTGATCCATCGTCAACTGGTATCTGCAGGGGATAGCCTGGAAAACATACATTGAGCACTCAGAACAGGTCCTTGGCTACGTCTAGCGGGCTGTTCCATTAACCTCGCCCATCTCTATTTCCTTATCTGAAAAGCTGGATGGCTGTAGCTGGCAGTTACAGTAAGATGTTCACAAAGTGTTAAAGTGCCAGTTAGAGATTCAGGGAGAGCACTGGAAAAAAAGCCAAGAGCAAAACCAATCCAATGCGGAGCACATCTAGAAGCAGCAAAGCACAATCCATCAATCAATCAAACCTTTCCTTGGAGACCACAGATGTCGGATTACATCAATCTGAGCGAGTCACTGTCGTTCACATTGATGTTTCTAGTGCAGCACAGGCGCTCTCAGAGCAGATTGCTGAACTGATCGCTTATTTTCTTCTGTTATTCATGTTTTTAAATCAATGCAAAGAGGGAAAGCACTTGCAAGGAATTCTTCAGTGCTCCATATGGATGATGATGTTGGGCCTGGGTTACAAGCAAAAAGGGGACAGGGACACTCTTTGCAAGGAGTTCCAGCAAATAAAATAACGAGAACTGGAGAAATTGATTTACGAAGAATGATTCAAGCTAACACAAGCAAAGTCTCTTGGACTCTGGTGCATGAGAACTGAAACTATGGCATTGACAGAAGGTTGCTGATTTGACTGGATAAGGGGGCCAACCTTGAGGGGCCTGGAAGGGAGAACAGTCCTTGGAATATGCCACAGGCTCTGGCCATAACATAGGGACCCCATTTGCCTGATGCAAACTGTACCTGAGGCAGATACAAGACAGAACTATGTTGCCCCACATTAATGGAGTATTGAGTACTATCAGTCCCCATGACTACACAGGTTTGTGAGCTGGATCGCTAAATACGTGGGGAAAGACTTCGTGAAAATTTAGGCCTAAAATACGGGGTGAGAGGAGCTCTTTTGGAGAAAACTTCCCCACTTCTCCACATTCCCGGCTTTTCCCTCAGTTGTCCTGGCTCGCTACCCAAGAGAAGGAAGCTGTCTGCTGGCAGCACCTTTGGGGAGCATTGTTTTTATCATCAATTGAGCTGACTCGTGAATACAGAATGCACACGAATGCTGCTGCATTATTACAACCGCAGTCACTAGGAAAGCGACAAATGATTCCAGGGGAAATCTGTGTATTAGTGAGACGACAGGGGGCAGGGAGAAGGCGACACAGACCAGGCAGTATGCAGGAGGTTGGGGGGGGCGGAAGGGAAAGAGATGAGCCCAGGCAGTAGGGGAGAAGCAGGAGGGTCGGGGTGGGCAAAGCGAAGGAACGGAGACAGCAAATTAGGCTGTGACAAAAGAAGAAAAACCCATTGGCTGTTATTGGGTATGCCTAGAGGGCAGGGGAAATCCCGTCTGGATCTGATTTTTGGTGAGTCAGACATCCCCTGTATCTGACACATACTGTAGTCCATCCTTCCCTCGGTGAATGTTCATAAAAAGACACGGGAAGGCACAAGTGGCTAGAGCAGAGTGACAGAAGCCTGGCGGTCGAGGGCGGTTCCCAGGTCGAGATGGGAGAGTAGGGATTAGTGGTTAGAGCAGGGGGGCTGGCATTCATGATTGATGATTGTCCTCCTGCCATGACTCACCGTGTGACCTCCGAGGTCTGTGCCTGCATTTATCCTCCCTGTACCTCAGTCTCCCCACATATGAGAGAGAATACTCATTTCCCAGTAGGGGGTGAGGATTCATCACCTCATGTCTGTAAAGCCCTCCGAGATACACTGATAAATGATGCCATTCATGTGCATGCTACTAAGATCAGAAATGTGTGCCCATTTCCAACACATGAACAGAGGCCCCTGGGAACAGCACCCTACAACATCCAGACCTGCCATTAGCACTTGCTTAGGTGACGTCCCAGAGCCCTGGACCCCAACGCAAGCCAAGTGGTCTATTTGTAAAATACGTCTCTCAGCTTTGCAATGTTTTTCTCTTAGCATCACCTCCCCAGAGAGATGAAGCAGAGCATTCAGGGAAACACCGCCCACTACGCAATGGGGAAATTGCTCTTCCAGTCTTCACAAGACAACAGCAAGAGTTACTAGTTTAAACGGCTCTGATAAAAGCACTATCTGATCCTTTGCACACACAGGGGGCTTATACCCTTTCGCTCACTGAAAGCCATTGTAAAAGGGTTCTCTCGCCAAATCAAAAGGACAGAAAGTCGGAAGTTCCACTCTCTAAATGAGGTGCCAGCTTCAGGCTAGAGACTGGAGGGGCAGGTGAGTAGGTGGGTGCAGTTTTGTCAATGAGATGCATTAAAATATCCAAAACGTCTACCAGGTCCCTGGAAAGGGGACCCCAGGCGCGCGCGCGCACACACACCCACCCACCCACACACACACTCACTCGGTGTGACCAGGCCTTCCCTTCCCATCCCAACCTCCACCTCCTCACATGTTTACATGCAAGCAGAAGCCCCCTCCCTCATCCCCTCTGGTAAGCAGAGTAGTTTCTTTGGAGAGTGGAGGGAATAGAGGCAGAGACAGAACAAGCCTAAAACCTTCCTCCCCTTCTGTATGGGCAAAAGTGGGGCCCCGGCATCTCAGGCACCCTCTTTACTAGGCCCCACTGACCATTCAATTATAAGGACAACTATCACCACCAAGCTGCGGTTGGGTGTGGGATCTCTTGAAGGTAAAGGCGGGGCCCACTTGATAGGCCACGGGTTGAGGACATCATCTAGGAAGAAAAGCTGGTGAAGTCATTTCACACCTGCAGAATGGGCCAGAGGTCACTTTCAGGGGCAAGGAGATTCTTGTTTTAACTTAAACCAGCTCGTCCACCTCTGTCTGCAACAGACCCACCTAAACGGTCAGAGTGCGCCCTCGGCATTCCTACCGGCTCACTTAGAATGATCAACGCTCCATTCCTCATTCTCCCCCACCATCCCAAATGCCTCTGTCCCAATATCTAAGTTATTATCCAGAGATTCCTGAACCTTTCCAGCAACCAATGGATGAAAAGATGGCTGCATAATGCATAAACTGGGGTAGATACAAGTTTGAGAGATTTGCCCTAGCGACTTTTTAATTTTCTGAATCCTGTAAAGGGGGAAAGGGTTTATAACCATGTTTAGAGGGGGTAAAAGGAAGCCAGTGTCACAACAGGAGGTAGCTCATCTACACATCCATGGACATGAGTCTTTTAAGTATGAACAAAGAGAACTAGTACACGAAGGAGGATCTGAGCTGCTACATGGAGGGATGGGAAATCTCAGTCCTGGGCCTCAGTCTATTAAAGAAGCCATTAATCTACATTTAAAAAACAAAATCAATCACCCCGGTCCCTTCTATACCGGACTTGGGAAAAGACTGTTTCACCTCCTTTTAATTCCCAAGCAGCCTTTACCGTTTTTCTATGAGCAGCAAGATTCTACAGCCTTTTACAGATTTCACAGGCTCTATGGACTCAAGTGTTTTTTCTTCTATTGAAACTTACCTCTGAATGGGAAAGCGAGCACAAGGCAGATGGGGATGATTACGATCATCAAGTCTGGCCTCCAGCATAACAGGGGATAGGCTCTCACCCAGTGATTCCCTCACCAAGCCCAAACCCCAAACTTCGGTTTGAGCGATAAAGTATCTGAATGTATCTTATGTTTATCTCCCAGAAGCTCATTTACTGCATGATGATGTCTCGGCACCCAAGTAATTCACAAAAAGGTCCCCTTTTCCTAGACTTTGGACTAACCTTTCATTGAACCACATACATTCCCAGGCGTCAACTCTATGGGCAACCTCACCCCAGTCTCCTTGTACTGAGATCTCCCAGCTGTGTCATCCTTTCTCCTGGAGAGAAAATAACCTGCCTGTGGGGGAAGGTCCTCCCCTTCTCCCATGACTACCCCCATCTGGTAAGGCTCACCTGATGGGATCTGCTTAGCTTGGCTCATCGAATGGTCTTCCATCATATTGAAATCCTGACGTTGCTCAGCCATCCTGTTGCAAAAGTTATCTAAAGGGGAAAAAATTTAACACTATTACACAAAACCTCAGGCAATGCACCCTCCCCTGCACTCAAATTATTGCACTATCTCCTATTGCTCTGTGGTGCATTTTCAGCTCATCAATTTAATTCAAGGAACACAATCTTTTCTTTTTTGGGGGGCGGAGGGGAGGAAATCAGATGGCCATTAATAACTAGCTGCCTTTTAAGCTACTGCAACAAGCTATTTAACTCATTCACTTTTTCAAGGGAGACTTGAAAAAGCTCACTATCATGATCATAGACAGGTTACAGCTCAAGGTATGTGCTGAAGAAAGTGGTCCCCCCTGACTGACTGATATAAGTTACGGCTGGATAAAGGTTTGACTACTAGACTCTCCTTCCAACGAAGAATGATTCCCTATCAAGCTCCTCTAAACCTACTATCAGAAGCAAATTTTTGTCCACAGCCTTTAAATTTACCAGCAAAATGCATTAAGATGGTGTCTAGGATTCTGAAATGGCCGACATCAACTGGGGAATGCTCTTTTAAAAAAAACCCACAGTTGTATCAAGTTATAGGCATAGAGATCAAAGCAATTGCAATCCCAATAGAGAGCAACAACTGCATTTGTGAAAAGAAGCGGATTTTTGTGACCAATGTGAAGAGCTAATCATTCTTGCACAGGTCGGAGGAGACAAAATACCAAGGCTGTGTCACCAATTTCCTGCAGCAGACTGAGGACACAGGCAACTTCATATCCAATGCACCACTGAAGTTACACAAGCAATTGAATAACTTCCAAGGGAAAGGACCCATCATGGCTCATTGTCTGGTCTATCAATTTTCACAAGTCTATGTCTGGGACTCTGTGGCGTAATACAGACTAATTCTGCAGTAAACTGCTTGATAGATTGCAAGTCTGTGGCAGAGCCAGCGGCAGAACTGAGCTCAAATGACTTAACCACAAGATCATTCTGGCTCTTCTTCCAGTCTCCTGCCTCTGACGTTACACACCTTCTAATTTCTACAGTGAATGAGACAAGAGGACTACAGACCACAGCCTCATTCAATACACAACCCGGATTCATTCACTGAGCACAGTTCATCCTGTATGCTGAAAGAGGCAGGGATTCTGTGGAAAAAACAGTATGCATGTATATATATAAATTAAAGATTATCATAAATGCATACACAGAAGAGGGTCACGTCAAAGTTTTACAGGCACGCTTGATACTGGCATTTCCTAACTTTTGAGTGCTTGAATTTGCAACCTTAATGTTATTTCCTAGGTTTTGGTTTTGTTTTTTAAAGAAAGGAAAACAAATTCTACTATATGTAACTGAGGAAACAGTGACCTTTTCAGACAGTTGGGAGACTCATTTTATAAATGCTTGCAAAGCACACTGAGATCCTTAGATCCAGAGCATTATAGAAAGCAGAGTTGTTTTTTTCATTTGATTTTCAGACATTTTGCATAGTTAATAAAAAGCTTCCTCGACCCGCCTATATTTTTGTTGTTTGACGAAATTTGAAGAATTCTGTCCTATGGCAAAAATTAAAAAATAAAATAAAATAAAATAATCCCCCTACAAGTCCTGAACGTTTCTCAGAGCTGGATGACCTGAATCGGTGCTGAAGTGTCTGCCAACAACAAAGGGAAGGGGGTGCTTTACCTGGCTTACTACCAAGTTATTTCTGCCCCGGTGATCTGAACAGTGCATTTGCCAATTAAGCTAATTTGTGTGCCTAAATGACCCAGAAAAGGGCAGACTCAGTAGAGCAAATCCAGGTGTGAAAGAATTAAAACGACTTTAACACACGAGAGAGCAGAAAAGCATTTTCCACCCAGACACAACACTGTTGCAAGGACCACTGTCTTCATGAATGTGTGCTGCACAGGATAAATGGCCTGCCATTCTGTGAGTAATCAGCTGGAATGATGTACAAGTGATTTAAAAATAAATAAATAAATAAAAAGATTCATACAAAGCTCTTGTATGAATGTAGGAGATTTACTTAAACTGGAATCTTTCTGCTCTCTATTTGCAGAGCACCTAAGCGCCATGAAGCCCCAGTCTATGGCTCTTAAATGCTCCCACAATACAAATAAATATTAATAACAAACATTCCTAGTTGTGTAGCTGTTTTGCAACTAGGAATGGTCTAGTGGTCTATGCATAGGATTGGGAAGCAGGAATTCCCAAGTATTTGTTGTGGGCCTTCCTGCAAGAAGAAGGGAAATGTTCAGGTAAGTCAAAGTAAAATCTTCTTTTTCTTCTCAAGAAAAGTTCACAGATTCCTTATAGTCCCAGAAAGCTCCCTCTCCAAAGTAATTAGGCGTAAGGAAGCAGGAGGGAAACTAAGTGTACGTCCTCAGGAGACTACAGCCAAGAATAAGGTGCAAAGGAAAACAAGTATCCCGTTTAATTTATGGTATATGGGTGCCGACAAAATTATCCAGTTCTGCAAAGCGGAGACCATGATTCTGCTAACAACTCTCCACTAAAAGTGATGTTGATTTCATGATAGCTGCTCTAATTACAGCCAAAAATAGAGATTAATAACCTAATCCCAGGCTTACCACAACTGGATGGGAGGGAGCTGAAACCAGCAATGCTGCTCGGGTTACCCGCAGTAAGGAAGTGAGCTTACATGGTTTTGTTGGCTGGCAATAAATTAACTGCAAAAAGAACAGGAGTACTTGTGGCACCTTAGAGACTAACAAATTTATTAGAGCATATTAGAGCATTTGTTAGTCTCTAAGGTGCCACAAGTACTCCTGTTCTTTTTGCGGATACAGACTAACACGGCTGCTACTCTGAAACCAATAAATTAACTGGATCTTTAGAACGGAATGAGGGATTTCAACTCTCCAACATTTTTTTCCACTAGGAAGATGTCTATGCAATTTAATTTCTGCTTTAAACAACTACAAAATCATCTGATTGAATTGCACGGAAAACCTTCAAGAGCTTGCCCTGCAAAAACTCACCAAGTGATAAGCCACAAGAATTGGTATTTGAAGCGGACAGAAAAGTCAGAATCCGCTCACTGCACTTGATTAAAAAAGCATTAATGGAGTTTTGCCCACCTAAAACAAACAAAACCGTTCTAATTATCTGGCCATATGGCCAATCTCCTTCTGGAGCTCCGGGAATCATATTGATTATATCCTGCCCATGGTGGGCTGCATTTTGGTGCTTTTTTAGGACTAGCAAGCATGTAAGCGATAAAATACAACTACTAAGCGGCCATACAGTTCACAAAACCAAACTGGAGTATGCCATAGGTGAAAATGAGGTTTGCAATTCAATACTTGAATTGGCTACTTTGTTTGTTTGTTTGTTTTAAATTGTGCCAATTTTCTGGCGCGGACGATGCCAGACGGAATCTTCTATCCAAACAGGCCCAACAAAGATGATATGGTAAGCACTTTTCCTACATGCGGTCCTGCTATTGTGCCCCCTGGAAGGAGCGCCTCTCTGGGCTGGCCGCGGATCTCTGCCTGACTTCCAGGCCTTGGTTCCTATGTCAACTAGAGGATCAATTAAGACCAATTGTGATGAGGAAACATGTCTACTAGCATTTGACCTAAGACCCATCAACTCATTTCACTGAACAGCCACCGGTATTATCACCTTTCCATCATCTCCTAACTGCTGACCCAGAAGTGAAAAGCTCATGAATTAGCTGCCCTGTATCTAAACACTAACTGTATGTTTCTTTTTAATTCTCCCTTTTTTCTACCTAGACCACCTTTATAAAAAAAATAATCAGTGACATTTCCCCCAGACTGTCTTCCCCTCTCCCACAAACGCTGAGTGAGGTCTCCACGGCATCCAGGCAAGAGTTTCTCTTAAGGTTTGTCTACATGGGAACACTCAACAAAATTAATCCAAATTAACTAATGGTGTGAATTCAAAGGGGATCAATTAAACTGCATTAAACCCCATGTGCACACACTCATTCAAAATTAAAGTGGCCTCAATTCAGCCTTCCAAAGGGAATTAAGTTAAACTGAATTAAGGTCATTTTAATTCTGAGTGAGCACATCCTCACAGGGACACACAAAGCTAATCTGCTTTGAATTCACACCTTTTGGTCTGGTCTACACTTTAAATTTATGCCGGCTCAGCTATGCTGGCAGAAGGCTGCTTCTGTTGACGGAGTTAAATTTGTTCGGGGGAGTTTGTGTTCCCACACCGGCAGAAAAATTCCTTCTGTCGGCGTACGGCGTGTCTACGCCAACATAGGCTCTGTAGCGTAGACATAGCCTTAGTCTGTTTGGATTAATTTTCCTGAGTGTCCCTGAATAAGTCGTCCATGGGTGGCCTATAGAGCACTTGCTGGGGTCTGCAGAGAGATGACTGGTCACATGGTGCTGGCTCCGCCACCTGGCTTCCAGCGGCGTCTACAGGTGTCCAGGCTCCTCATTACTTAAAAGACACTGGGTGTCTATCAAAGATGCTAGAAAGAAGGAGGAGCGGCCGGCCTAGCTGCCCACTAGGTAAGGAGGAAAGAGATGTTATGCAGTCCCAAATGGGAGGGGAAGTGTTCATAAGCAACCCCCTCAAATGACAGGGTTCACACCATGGAACAGCTTGAGAACCTCTGAGTTCGGGGGTTGGAAAGACTGTTACATCAGAATTTAAAGACAAATTGATTTTCCTTTGGTGTCCATTTTAGGGAGAAGAGAAGAGATACTGCCTTCTCGGGCGTGGAGAAAGAAGAGTTACTTTTATTATTAGGTGTTTTATCTTAAAGCTCCAGCTGCTGGAATCATGTGATTACTTGTGAATCTTAGGGTTTTATTTAAAAAAAATAAAGCGCCTCTAGACCTAACGGATGCAGAGCAAAACTTAATTTGAACTCCATGGCTCCAACACCAGAAGGCAAGAAATAGAGCCCCAAATCATTTTTAAAACCTCATGATTTTAGGGGGTCTGGCTCATGATTTTTTAAATTCTGGGGGAGTGGCAATACTGAGATAGTAGAACTGGCCTCCCACCTAGCGAGAAGGAA